ATGAAAAGTATTTACGGTAACACATTGCGTTTAACAATGTAAGTTTCACACAAAGAATTCGTTGCTTTGGGCATCACTGCGACTTCCCGCTTCTATGTGAGTGTTATGAAATGCCTCTGTAACACAGAATTCGATGAGTTCGACCAGAACGATGGATTGCCAAATATTTTTTCCTGCTGCACGTCGCGCCTGACACTTATTTGACTGGAATTGTAACGAAATTTTTGACGAAAAAAAGAAATCTCTGTGCTTCAACACTTTATTCATCTGATTATCCCCATATATGTGACTTTTTCTTATTTCCACGATTGAAGATGCACATGAAGGGGCAGCGATACGAAAATATAGAAAATATTCAAGTCAATGTGACACGCGAACTAAAAGCGATTTTGCAAGAAGATTTTTATAGCAGCTTCCAGTGGCTATACGAACGATCTAAACGTTGTATGAGATGGGAGGGAATTATGTAGAACATATTTGTCATTAAAATTTCTTGAAATTAATATTTTCTATTTTTTAGAGCACCAGTCTCCTTTTTTCCGGACAGACGGTATTTATAGCAGCTGCTGTAATCTGTAATTCATTTTCGTATTTTTAAGACCGAAATGTAGTTTGAAGTTTTGGTCACTCAAATCAAAGTCTCTTTAAAAATCTTTTGTACTTTTTACACGTCGTATGAATTACATTTTCACCAAGAGCGAAATAGATCATCTCGGTTGCTTTCTATACATTTCTTTTGAAATGCAAAAGAAATGCACTAATATGCACTTATCGTGATTGCTACTGTTTTTAGAGATTATATGGTAGCAATAAGATAATTATGGAACGATGTAGGTTAGCAGTGTCGTGGGTATTTAATATGATCAGACGTAACACGAGTAAATAGTTAACTCCGTCCGATTAGTACTGACGCTAATTGCTATCTAATTGAACTGAAACCTTAGTCCGTGAATCTATGTAGAGCAAATCTTTAGATGATACAGTTAGTTATTAAGCTAATGTACCAGGAAGATATTAAATTATACTATACAAGTGCAGCATATCCATTAGGAAACTGCATTGCAGGAAGTTACGAGAAGAAAAGACTGAGATTATTTAATATAGTAACTTCGCGAATTACGCGATTACGAATTACGTGTGCATGAGTATTACGATTGAATTTTAAATGCTAATTTTTTGCGTATTTTTTACCATCGTGTGTAATCAAAATTATATAACATAATCAAAAATAGATAACGAGAAAAAGAGAGAGATGTATATTTGTTATGATTAAAACCGAGTATTTTTATCGACTTATCTGATGATTGATGCGTACCTTTTATCTTATCGTATTATTTATGAAATATAATTCTTACATAACTTAGAATATTTATATACGAATTAGACGACTACCTTATCCTCTGCTCATTTTTTTTTCTTTATATTTCTTTTTCTTTCTTCTTTATCTCCATTTGATTTCAATGCATTCCGGTACACACACACAACACACACGCACACACAAGACACACACTCCTCTGCCTACCACCTCCTCTTCCCTCCCTCCCTACATTATTTTAATTCTATTTCCTTCTTACTTCGAAAAATCTTTTGTGTTTTTTTAGCTTTCTAACTTTCTCAGCATGCCCTCAGCCTTGTTAGTCCACTCCCCATTAGACCTTCTTCTAATTTCTCTTCATATATATCTCCATCTATCATGCTTTTTCAAGTTTCGTAAATCTTAAATCTTCTTTCTTGAATTCTTTTTTCATATATTATTTGAAAATTTTTTTCTACATACTTTCTATTTTTTCTAAGTTGTTTCAGCCCTACAAATAATTTTATCTATAGAAGAATACATTTAAAAAGTATTCTGTTAAAAATATCTGCAAGAAATATGCTGAATAATATATAAAACTGTTGAACAGCAAGAGCATACTTCTCTCATCACCATGCTTGCTTGTTCAACAGTTTCATATATTATTCAGCATATTTCTTGCAGATGTTTTTAAGAGTATATTTTTTAAGTGTGCTCTTCTATAGATAAAATTATTTGTAGGTGTATATTTGTGTACTTTGATATGCTTGTTCAAAAATTACCATTGTATTGAAAAAATCAAATGCAATCTCAAAAATTGTAAATAAAAAGAGCGTTACAACTAAAATTTATATCTTAGTGTAGTGCAATTCTAAATTATGATTTTTGCGTTTTGAATCCCTTGTACTTAAATATAGATTTTAATATTTTACTTTTCAGTAACTCAGAAAAATCGTTTTTTGAAAATAAATTACATATAATGTTATGATATGGAGCAGAACTCGACATCAATTACAAATATACTTGTTTTACACTTATTTGCTCTCACATATACGCAATATACGATGGACATTGTCTTTCGCATTAATCCGTCATATCTTTTCATTTATAACTAATTTAAGTCATTTATAACACATTAGTCTTTAAAGGACTTAAAAGCCTATTTTTAGGTTTCAAACTGTTTATGCGCTAAAATATCATATATGTATAAGGATTTTTTACGTTGTTGAGTTCTTTTAGTTCTGCAGGAAATCTAAGAAAGAGAATTCCGGAGAATTGAAGCTAATTTCCGAGTTTTTAATTACTTTTATCTTCTTAGAACTTTTTTGTGAAACCTTTTTAGATACTATATCTCTTCTACTTTTACTATTTTCCTACAATCCTATTCTAATCTTACAAAGTCCTTATCAATTTGCATTTTTTATAAATTTCAAAATATATTTTTATAACGAGATTTTGCAAAAAGTACTTCCATATTTCTCATTCGAAACTAAATATAAATAATAATTTATATAAAATTTACAATTATATAAATATTTTATGTAAATATTTATATAAATTTTTCCATCTTTGTTAACGTACCAGACGGAAAGCCTATTTTTAAGCCCTACGAGTACATTGTACACAAGTTATAAAAAAACCTGCCCGTGCTTTAAAGGTTAACAATACATTTCTTTATAAAATTTCTATGTGACAGCAATACATTTGAAATGCAATATATTTGCCTACATTACACCTTGTATATATAGCGCATTTTATAAGATTTCTATATATTATACCAAGGTATACTGGGACGAGTTTATTTCCAGTGGTCTGGAAGAATCCTGAAAGTTTATAAAAAACTTCTAAATGTAATCAGAATTTTACTTACGTTTTGTGAAGGATCAAAATAACCCATCCCAATATATTTAAGTATTAGGTATACTACATATATAAATCTTAAGGGAAAAAACAAAAAAGAGAAAAAACAATTATATATAATTAATTATCCGTATATAAAGAAAATCTTAGAAATTAAGATGTTTTAAAAAGGAGTAATAATTATAAAAAGATGTCAAACAAATCATTTTGATCTCCTTGACAGTTCTAATGTAATAACAAATCTATTTTAAAAATCTAAACAAATATCTGTATTTACTTACGATATACTCAAATTTGTTAAAATTAAATATTATTTTAAGTATGTTATATCTCAAGCGCAGCTGTTCTCGAAGCAGAGCTGTAAATAAGATTATGATCATAAGCAAGCTTAATTCAATCAATTTGTCTCAATACTTAATTACATATAAACGTATTTATCTAACAACCCTAAATTAAAATATAAGACAAACGGACTAATTAAGAGCCAGACACGGTAAATGATACGCGAAAGTTATTTTTATTATATTTATTTTTATTTAAAATAACTTTCGCCCATCATTTACCGCGATTTCCAACGTGGAGCCTATACATCAAATCCTAAATTAAAAATAATCTTTTGAACTTCGAACGCATCGTTGCAAGAATAACTTTTGTTTCCACAAAAGAGATATTGTATCCTAAGTTATTAACAGAATGCGCATTAATTAAAATGTTATTACTGATAAATAAGTCGTCGACTTATCGGAAAGATCGCGGTGTGTTCCGATAGGAACACGTGACTGACGGAGCCAACGCTTACGAATAATGTCGCACTGTTCTTCAGTCATCATCGTACCGTTCCAAAACGAACAACAGTAATGTTTCTGCACTACGGATAATAAAATTCTCAACAGTACTCAGGTACGAAAAATAGGCGCACAAAAGAATAAAAAGAGAGGACAACCGTTAACAATTCATAATGTCGACAATCCTTTTAGTTCAATTTATCTTCAAATGTGTAGTTCAACAATAAGCATTATACTTTTAATGATTGTATAGTAATCAAAGCCTATTCTTAACTCTTCAAAGGTTTTTTTAAGGTTTGAATAACTGGGATTTTATAACTCTTTTGTGTATAATGCAATTAACATAAATAATTAAAAGAAAAAACAATTAATCACAGCTACAGGAAAATGCGAGTAAAATAGAGAAAGCAAGAATAAAAAAGGATGTAAAACATACCGTTTATATATCAGTACATTTCTCGAGATTTTATCTAATAATTGAAATAAATTAATTTACTAATAACGACATTCAATATAATATAAGAATAGTAACACTGGGAATCAATATTATCGAAAAATTGTGTATACATCGGTACTATAACAGTTTTGAATATTTGACGTCTCCAATATCGGTAAAATTAGACATTTTTAACGTGTTTTATAGCGTATATAGTACGTGTACGCGATATCGGTACAAATACGATTACTATGTAAAATTATTTTGTTATTATTTCTTGAATAGATATGAAAATAATAAAATAGATATAGAAATAGCTAAAAAGCAATATTCTTTTATAAATAACATGAATGGGCATTAGAAACATGTAACAAATTATCAATAATTGAGTAAAAACGATATACTAACAATAAATCACAGATAAATTAATTCTAATTATATCTGTTTACGAACTTTACGTACTGATGATTGTTATTGCAAATGTTAGCTTTATTAATTAAACTACATATGTAACATATAGCATATAACACATATACGCTATAATCTGACTATAATATGTTTATATATCACGAGCGTTCCGTTTAAATGATATACGTAAGTGATACACTTTATTACACGTTTGCAGACTAAAAAGTATTCCTCGCCATAACTCAAGATGCTACGCGCAGTAATTCTAATAGTTGCTTTGGTCACAGTGAAAGGTAAGCGCAATTAAAGACGAATGTTTAATAACGTTTGGAATTCCTTTTAACCCTCCGCGAACACACCTATTTTTTCATTCACGGAGAACACTCTGGGTCAATCTGACCCTACACACACTTTGATCGTCCACCATTTTAAATTGACGAGTGCGATCAGCTTGAAAAAATTTCCAGATGTACTTGGAACATTGTTAAATCAATTGATATAAATAAAAAGTGCCGTTGAAATTATTTACATATTTAAAAAAATTTTTTTTAAAATTATTTTTTTGAAAAAATTTTTTTTCAATTTGAGGTTTTTTTTTACGTAATTTACGAACAAAATTTTATTTTTTTATTTAAAAAAAACGGTCAAATTGACTCGATGTGTTCTCGGAGGGTTAACCACGGAAAGTCTTCGAAATCTCTCGTGACTAGTGAAAAAATTTCCAAGTAACCGAGAGACATTATATTATATTCTTAGTTAAATTATTTATACTTAGTATATGGCCGCGTTCGGGGAGCGCGCTATTAGCGCTATTACATCATTCTATCTTTATCGCTCATCAGATGTAAAATAAAGATGGAATAAGCAAATAGCGATAATATAGCGCGCTCTCCGAACGCAGCCTATGTATTATAACTCTCATTACTCTTATGTTTTTTTAAATGTAAATAAATACTATAAATAATTTACTAATTACAATGTAATTAAGTTTTGCCTATTTAAAAAGATACCTATGTTATTGTTTATAAAAAAAAAACGAGAAGACTTATTTATTGTAAGAAATGTTTTCATATTTAAGTTATTTTACGTATTACATATTAATTCTGCATTAATTACGATTATTATCACTTTACACAACTAGTAGGCCTATCTCTATTACTTTGCTGCGCCTCTATTTTGAAAGTAATATAAACCTCGTTTTGCAACGTCATGAATTTCGATGAAATGTCACCGGCGAATGCAAATCGCGCTGATATCGATTTCAGCAAAATTTTCAGCAAAAGTACACTTAAGTAAAGATAAACGACTTCCTTAAGCCTGCGACTTTTGCATACAATCAGCGCAGTTCGGACTTACTAAAACGGGAAAATTTAATTTCGCGACACAGTTTAACAAGCAAAGTTTCTGACTCTTCCCTGATGTACATAGAGAACGATAAGGGAAAGAGAGACATTCAATATTTCTTCTGGGGAATCTCTGATATTTTTAAAAAGATTTTTGTGTAACAACGTGTCAATTAAAAAAGTATGCATGACAACTTAAGTGTCGGAACGTGCAATTGAATGTTCTTTCCATTGCAGGAGACAACTGTATACCACGTTCATTCGGCGAAGGTCGTACAGTATGCGTCTGTAACTCGACGTATTGCGATACGATAAGCGAGCCGAACTTGCAACAGAACCAGGTTTTATGGTACACATCTACTCAAGATGGCAAAAGGATGCAGCTAAACGTCGATAACTTCGTCGGCAAAAATAAGCCCGACAACGACGTGGTTCTCACGGTGGACAGTAGTGAGAAGTATCAAAGGATACACGGATTTGGCGCCGCAATGACTGACGCCGCCGCTCTCAACATTAGAACTCTCAGCAAAAAGACTCAAGGCATATTATTTGAGTACGTGGTCGGCATTATTTTTAGGCGAGCGATAACAGTGACAGAAAAAAAAACGATTGGGAGAACGACATAAATTTTCGTGCGGTATAATAAAATTTTAATAATGTTCAATATTCACCTGCAATGTTGTTTTTTATGAAAACCAAGTAATTACGACACTGTCGTGCACTATCAGTGCTAATATTTCGTGACGATAACAATAGGTTGAAAATTTCCATTTCCGCTTTGCGTTATAGATGCCAATAAAAATTCTTCTCCTTAATCTTTTTTCTGTTATTTTTTTTTAGAAAGAATTAAATTTCTTATTAGATTCTCATTTATTGTCAAGATCTTTTAAAACTTTCTGAGAATAATTCAAGTAATATGAAATCCCGTTAAAATACGTTAGTAAATTCTAAAAGGCGAAGCAAAAGTTTTCCAATTAGCTATTAATCATATATTAATTAACATATTGATTCAATAAGCGGTGGCAGAATAATTTTCCGGGCGAAGCATATTAATCCTGCTGTGGGGATAATAGCAGAATTGCATTACCTCTTTTGCTGGTAAAATGGAAACGAATTAGAAGCATAAATTACAATTCTTTAGCGCAAGATAAATATTTCTACGGTATTGAAATCGAGCAAAGTGCGTTAACTGCTATCTATTGTAACGTGAAACGCAGCAACTATTCAAACAAAATTTAACGATCTATCGGGTTTCGTAAAATTGCCGCAAATTTGTCTAACTGGATTTAATCCGTTTCGCATATTCACGCATAACCGTTCACGTGCATTTATTTTCAGGTCGTATTTTGGTTCCAACGGTAGCAGATACACGTTGACTCGTATACCTATCGCGGGTACCGATTTCTCGACGAGACCGTACACGTACGACGACACACCCGGCGATGTTACGTTAAGTCATTTCTCACTTGTGGAGGAAGACTATTACAAAATCGGATATCTACATTATATCCAGAGTATTATGCCCAATCCGGAAAGTTACAGAATATTCACGACTGCATGGAGCGCACCTCCGTGGATGAAAAACACAAATAGCATAACGTGGGGTATGTCGCTTGCTCAAACAGAGAAACTTTTGCACGGAAACGAGTATTTATTATATACGATTATATTGAATTTTAAAAATTCACAAAAGCCTATTTTTTATTGAAATTTCGCAAATATTAATTATCAGCTACCAGAGGTAAAACGTAATATCAGATTGGAGTGGGATGAAATGGAGCAGGAAATAAATCATCTGATCAATTTGAAATCAAAACTTTACATTATTTATGAAATATTTTTTAACGCAGAAGCAAATATTGATTTAATCATAAAAATATGATATTGAAACGAGCAATTATTTAAAATAATTTTAAAATACTTTTATATGGTTGGAAAACATCAAAAAGGAAGTTACTTCGTTAATTTGGAGTCAATTATTGTATATTTATCAGCAATAATAATTCATATATTTGTAGGAATGAAACGAGATACCACAAATTAAGGTTCTATTTTTTTATCTTTCTTAAATTTAAAAGAAACAAAAGATAATAACTGGTCTATTTCATTTCACAGTCCATCTTACTTCGCCCTCTGTAATTATAATCAGATAACATCTCTCCAGAAAATCAGGTTTTTAACAAAATTATTAATACTACAAAAAGTTGATGTTTTTATTTCAAAAATTAAATTTAACTTAATATTTTCGTCTTCTCTCGTTTATAAACTCAAAATGAGTTTGTAGATGTTATTATATTTTGTTTTTACTATTAGGTGCTTTGATAATTAAATATGAAATACCCGTAATGTACGATAATCTCGACAGGTGTCCTAAAACGTGAATATTATGCACTTTATGCTGAGTATATCAAAAAGTTCTTTGACGCGTACAAAGAGCTTGGTATAAACATATGGGGCATAACGCCGGGCAACGAACCATTAGATGGATTTATCCCATTCTTCCCTTTCAACGCCATGGGTTGGACGCCTACCGCGTCGGCAACTTGGTCCACGGATTTTTTAGCTCCGATTTTGTCCAATGCCGGATATAATCCAGTCTACATGGCGATGGACGATCAACGCTTCGAATTACCGTGGTTTCCCGAGACGATGTTCAATAATCTGAAAGCTCGGGAGCTGTTCTCCGGTGTTGCGATCCATTGGTACGCTGATGATTTTTTTTCACCGATTAGGCTGACCCTAACGCATGATAAGTACCCGGACAAGTTTATATTGATGACTGAGGCATGCACCGGTAAGTATAATTAATTAAACACAGGCCAGCATTACACAGTAAATAATGAAAGATATAACTGTGCGATAGATATGTTTTTCCAAAAGTTTCAAAAAAGAAATTCATGTAATTTTCGCCTCATAGGTAGCAGCCCCTTAGAAATAAGAAAGGTAATATTGGGATCATGGGACCGAGGAGAAGAATATGCCTTAGATATAATCGAGGTTTGTATATGTATGTACTAATCACAATTTATATTTCAAATCATAAACGCGTTTGTACCGTTTTCAATTTTTATCTAATCTAATATAAAGAACACTCTCGATTTAGTTGTAAAATAAGAATCTGCTGAATGAACTTTTGCGGACACACTGGAGTTTAATTAAAAGTATATATTGTTCAGTGTTAATCCGGTTTTTATATTAGAAAATTTTTTTTTAGAGAATTAGCACAATATAGTTTTATTGTGTAAAGATGATAGTAAATCATACATGTAATTATATATTAAAATGCTTTGAATTGTGTATTATAAAATTTATAAATATATTTCTAGAACTTGTCGCATTGGGCAGTCGGATGGGTAGATTGGAATATGGCGCTCAATAAAAATGGGGCACCAAATTGGGCTAAAAATTATGTGGATTCCCCGATTATCGTAATGCCGGAGAACGATGAATTCTACAAGCAGCCGATGTTTTACGCGATTTCTCACTTCAGCAGCTTTGTGCCACGGGATTCTTACAGAATCTTATCTACAGGTCTTGAAGGCAATCAAGATATTGAAGCGATAGCTTTCTTGACGCCCGAACAACAGATTGTTATTGTGGCCGTTAACAAGTTAGTAAAAAATATATTTATACTATATATAATATATTATAGCAATCACATTGTGGAAAAATTCTTCAGAAAAATGTATAACAATTTTTTATTCCTAAAAGAATTTGAAATGTATATTCTTTTAAAAAACTATTTTACTTTTTTTTTAATTACTGTACTTTCTTTTAACATTTTGTTATAATATATTTCTTAAAACACATAATTCGAAATTTTTTGTTGCAGAGGTTCTTCACCTGTTGCTATAACGGTGAAAGATAAGTATACCGACAGCAAAATAAATTTAAATCTATCTGCCAAGTCTTTCAATACATTATTATATTTAGCGCAGCAATAATGCAGAAACTTGTGCTCAAATTGTAAATAAAAAATGTACGTCTAGATAAAATTCTCTTCGCTTTCTTTACAAAAAGACAAGATTGTACAAGAATTTTAACATTCTTTGTACGCGAACTTTTGACGAGGAAACAAAAGTAAATTATAAAGGATTATAAATATTATGACAAAAATTAATAATTGTCTTTCACAATCGCTGTATTGTATTTATACATTCGACATATGATAATTATATGTATTTCTAATTATGGGTAGTACGTTTTTGCAAATCGTCCCTTCTGTCTCATTTTGGGAGATTTGGCACCTCGTAAACATCTTGGTATATAGGGTGGACAATGATCATCTAATCTACGTTTGTACGCTTTAACGCCGAATTGCCAAGGTTCACGTTTCTTATCCAACGGACGAGTTTTAAATCGTATCAAATAGATTTTTTGCCAATCATATATTTCCGGTGTCCGTCTGAAAAAAAAGATTACATATTAATAAATATTCCTTTCACTATAAATCTGTTTAACACTTACATTAAAAGTACAGTAAAAAGAGTATTGAAATAATTGTAATGTTATCTCACCTGTGCCTCGGCCTGTTGTTCACGAGATACTTATATTGTTTTTCGAGCCAATTTCTCCTTTCATCGTGTTCTATGTCGGCTACTACTTTCACGGATTTCCCTAAATATGGTTTCAAGTCTACGCCCGTCCTTTCCTCAGGAACATTCATGTAAAACTTAATTAAAGTTTTCAAAACTTCTTCATTTAAACCGTGAACTTTCTCGTTTTCTATTTTATCGAATAATTTTATCGGCTCTGTAACCCAACAAATGTTGCGCTTCGGATTTTCATCCGCGTGCTCAGAATGCACTAAAGTAGTGTTGAGTTGGTAAACAAAAAACGACCACCATTGTCCGTTTGTTATAACCGTTTGAGTGGTTAATGGATACGTGATATCGTTAAAAGTAGAGAAACCTGAAATTTTAGATATACATGTAGAAAGCTGAAATTTCAATTAACATCTAAACAATAACTTTAAACTATAAAAGTACCTTGATAACAGGCTTGCGATAATAACCAGCTGTAAGATGATAATATAGCCTGTACTGTAAGTGCCGTAGAGGTGTCGTTATATTTTTCTGGCCTTGTCTGCAAGTACGTGCAGTTGTGATACGATAAAAGTCCGAATTCACTTTCATCGCCAGGCCAAAAGCCGGGTATATTGGTCAAGTGTTTCTTTTCAAAATTATAAGTCAATACACCGGGATTCAATTTGAACGTAGGTACGTCTAAAGCTGGATTTTCACAATCGCTTAAGGGAATAATCTCTCTCAGGGGATGTTTATGCCTTAAATGCATGACAGGCTGACCAATATATTGAACAGGCAAATCTATTGGGTCATCAGCATGATCCTTCATAAATTCAATAGACTTTCTTTTCAACCTTCGAAAAGTAGAGGGATATAAACTACCCACAAACCAAGATGCTTCTAATCTCGGTTCAAAATCGACTTCAGCGTGCAATAAGTGCAGATTTTCAGGGGCGAGATGTATCAACATTGTTTTATTAATTCTGTGAATTAACGCTTTAGATATAACTTCTTCCATATATATTTTTCTGTCATGAGCCTTAACGTTTTCATCCAATGGGAACTTATCTGGTGGTATCTCATGGTCTCTTCTGCAATAACATATTGTATAAATGACAAGCTTTCAGATTTAAATAATTTAAAGTTATGTAATTATAGATATAAATTTAGATAATTAATACTGGATAATCAGATAATAATTAACTATTACTTGCACATTATGTCATAACTAAAAGAATATTTGTTTCCAAAAATGTAAGTACCTACCGTCTAATGCAATGTTCGAAAATTATATTATCTTCTATGTCACTCTTGACTGCTTGTACCATCCTATCCAATTGCTCGGTGGAAACTATATTGTTGTAAAATGCTGGGAGACCAGATTCCTGGACAACATGTGTTCTCGTATAATATTGCGCATGTGCCAGAGCATTGTATGGTATAACATGTTCCTTTAGGATCAGCGACTTCCAGCCGTAATAACGTGGCATGTTGATCTCAAATTGTTTCTCCTCCACGGTTTCTAAGCCCTTAATCTTGTCATACCAAGCTTGTCTGTTCCTCTTCCTCTGAGCTTTCCAGCTTAGGTCTTTAACAGGTGGATATATTGGCTCCGTCACATCTTCGGCTTCGCTCTTGACTTCACTCTTGACTTCGCTGACAGCCAATGTACTGCTGTATCCCTTCTGTTTGCCATACTTGATTACCGTATTAAATAGTAGCCTCTGTCGAATATGAGCGAACATACTTCTAAACAGAAGCAACAATTTCTTTAAAAGCCTCTTGTAGGATTTTTTAAAACATGTACAGCGAGAAACAGCGACTCACACCTTACAGACTATGCTGTCTAATCGCTTGATTTAAATACCACGAGCTAATTCGTGAACATGGTTTCAATCTAAAAAATATTGCAGAAAAATATAATCAATGTTGATTAATATTAATATTAGCTTTTATTATGCTTACACACCAATCAACAGATTCATGCAGGTTATGTTGCGTCTCGGAATTCGCCTCGACTTGTCGTTTTGAAGGCGTTTCTGATAGAAAAAATAACGATAAAACGTAACCAACATCGATTAACAACGACTTCACGAAAATTCTTTTATAACTTCAGTCCCGAATATACTACAAATCGTCAAAAAATTAGGGTTATAAAACACGAGGAAAGCAAGGAACCGATAGAGACGGAAATAACTTCGAGAGTGACCTCTGTGTATTTGCGTACGATTCATCACGTGGATTTCAAACTCGATCGAGCATTAAATTTGTACTCGAATACTCCTTTTTCGAGTTTACATAAATTATCTAAGCTTCTTTATTACATTAATTATAAGATACACTATATTAAACATTATTAATATTATATATATGTATAATAAAAGAATTTGTAAATTTTGTAGAAAAACTGAAAAGCAAAATAACTCTCTGCGACAAATTCTTATTGTAATAAATAAAGTTACCTGAGATAAATTTTTTTTCTTATATAATTATACTAATTATACATATATAAAATGTCTATATATTTTTTTCTTTCTCTTAGATAATCTCTTAGGTATAATCTCTGACATAAGAAAAATAATAAGAATTGAAAAACAATTATAGAAAAAAAACTGCATTATTTTTTTACAAAAAGTAAAATTGCGATTAGATTATACAATATTTTATATAATTACATATGAGTAATTTTTCTAATTTCCTCAAACTTAACTTTTGTGTAAAAAAAAAACAATCCTTGCAAAATAAACTATTAAAAAATTATCCTTATAATTATTTCTTAATTCTTCCTTTTATTATTATTCTCGCACATATACACCGATTATATACAAGAGAAAAAAAAACAGTAAATAGAACTGTTTGTTTAACATATATATGTATATTAATAACAATTAATGCTGTTTGTGTGTTTTATATTTTATTTTCTTCCTTTCTCTCTTCCCTAAGCTTACGCGCTCATCTTTTTCGAAGAAGTCAAATAAAATTATTTATGTTATTAAATATTAACAATTAAGCTAATCGAAAGTAATGCGTTGTAAATTCCGAGAAAATATAGTCGAACAGGCAAAAATATGACTGTAACGCAATCACTGTTGCGTGCTCCGGAGGAATAACTTTCAATTTTAAAACGTTGACCTCGACATTACTTTAGATTCGATTCTGTTAACGTCAGTATACAAAACAGTAAACAATAATGAAGACACGGCAGTAATGTCGAGTGTTCGTAACGGAACACTACCTACGGTAATTTCCGCGTCGAAGAGAAAACCAGAAAGTAACGATTAATAATAATCCACCCTTTTTCGCAAACACGGTAGAGCAGGCAAGGTAATAAAACGCAAGATTCTTTTTCTTCTTTTAATTATAATCTGTCAGATTTAATTCGGCTGTAATATTTTGTGACAATTTCTATAGTTCTTAAAAAGCTTCCAATTTTGGTTTCAAATTATGAAGAGACAATCAAATAAACGTCTTTTTCAGATCAATTACATCAAACGAGAGAATTCACGAATTGATAAAATGTTCCTTTCTTAATAATAATAAAGCTACAATAGAACTGATGCAGCCTCATTATTGCGATAACAATAAATATAAATCATACATAAATCATTTTTAGCGCTATTCGCTTCAAGAGTTTCCCAAATCCGGATAGCTTTTTTCCACGTCTCAAACGATCATGTTTACGAAAATAAGGAAACGTTTAGGAAAAATCTTCAGTTGGAAAAACATTCCACCTATTACATTCGATGATCCTACAGTATGGTACCAGCTAACATACGTGAACTTATCAAACTGCAGTGGAATCTGTGGAATCACCACTTTGCCCAAAGAGTTGGGCGCTTTACCCGACCTTGAAAAGCTCGTTCTGTCGAACAATGGTTTTGGAGCGTCCGACGAATTTAAATGGCACTGGCTGCAACCAACTGCAATTCAGAATAATCTGCGTTTTCTAGACTTGAGCAAGAATTCGGTAAGTTGTATTTTATCTTTACACGGGAATAAATGGATCGCGGATTCTGTCGTCGGAGAAATGAATTTGATTGATCATTGTCATTGGTATAATCACAATTTGTCATTGATTACAGCTGACAGAACTACCGGCGTGCATCGGGAAGTTAAGTGCTTTGACAGAGCTGATAGTTTGCCATAACTCGCTGAAATACTTGCCGCAGAGCATCGGAAATCTACGAAACTTGAAAGTTTTGGAATTGTCGGATAACAAATTGTTATATTTACCAGGAAGTATGATAAATAACGTGCTGAAAACTTTGGACGTTTCGACGAATGCAGATTTTCTTACATTTGACATTATTGTCGTTCACACACAATTATTGACGCTTCGTAGCTTGGCAGCTAAAGTGATCTTGAAGGACAGGTTCGTTGACTTCATATCCTTTCTTCTTTCTGCCCACGTTGTAGGCATATGGCACACGCATGTCCATCGCTCGAAATATAATATACGAGCCGAAATAACAGCTTTGACGTTTCCGCAGATCAACATATTGCGACAGAGACAGCATATCGCCTGAGTCGCTCGAGTATCTTGAGAAAACGAATTATTGCTTTTATTGCAAGAGTCCCTGCTTCGAATCTTATATAACGAAGTTCGCGCGGCTTAATTCACTCTATGTTGCCGATATGCCGATATTGGACGGAGACGAAAGAGAAAGACCTATCTTGTCTTTCGAATGTTACTTCTGTTCGTACGATTGCTTTGAAATATGGAGCATTTGTAATGGCTAGTTGGAGAAAATGATGAACTTTTGGACTTGAACCAGTTATAGTTATCCAAGTTAGTGCTGGTCTACAACCTTGCTTTAAAGGATATTTGAGCTCTAAGCCATAAGAAATTGACCAATCACAATGGAATTTGAGGAGAATATTCGACTGTGATTGGTCAATTTCTTACGGCTTAGGCCCAGTTTCACAATTGTCGGTTAACTTTTAATCTTAGATTAACTCACTCTTCGTCTCCTTCTAACGTCCCTCTTAGAAAGAGACGAAGAGTGTGTTAATCTAAGATTAAAAGTTAGCCGACACTTGTGAAACTGGGCCTTAGAGTTTAAATACCGTTTAAAGTAATGACCAGCACTTAAAGTCTCCCCTGTGCACAATAGAGCACATGTTAGGAATAAGAATATTAAATATTAAATATTAAATATTAAATATTAAATATTAGAAATCGGAATTAGAAATAATAATTAAACGTAACGCACAATGAAAAAGAATAAAATGTAAAATATAAAAGACATACATAGAAATATTCCTACATTTACGTATCCTATAATATTTAATATTTATTACAGGAATATTCATACATCTACATATCCTAATATTTAATTAATATTTATTCTTATTCCTAATATATGCTGTATTGTGAGCAGGGCTGAAAGAGTAATATTCAACATTTGATTGACATTATTGATCTGGTCTGATATTATCGAAATTGGTAATAGCATCTAAGTCACAGATACATCAGTTTATAATGATTTTTATAATATTAATTTATCATAATCTTTATTTGTGCGCCGTTACATACCGTTATACAATGCGTATGCTTACATATAATATACTTACATAATTTTTAAATGAATAAAAAATAGACTCACGTACCGATGATGACAATCTCGTTATGCAAGACTAAATATAATCAAAATAATAATTGATTCCACAAATCGATCATATTGTATATAATTTTTATTTTGAGGTTTATTTTACGCACCCAGTAAGAAAAATGCTAATAGTTTGCCATAAGATAATTCGAACAATATTGTGGCAAAATATATTGCACAATATTATGCTCGAATAAAATGTTGTGGCTGCATAATTGGCCGATTGGCAACTGCATCTGCATTAAGCAGTAAGTTCTCGTATTCTACCACAGCAGAACCTATCTAGATAACCTCAGAATAGATTTCTAGCAGAAACTGAGTAGAATCCGTCACTTATTTGTAACAATTTAAATGGAATATTTTATTTAAATAATTACGAAATCGCAGAACGATTTTTGCTGGCAATTATGTATGTTCCGTTAATATAGATTTTGTTGCACTTATGCCGGAATTTTGCTGATAAAATTTGCAGCAAACATTTCGTTAAATCTGTTTTATTTTCATAGATTTTAGCTATTTACACTATTTTATTGTATTTCCCATACTTCGTGATATAAATTTTATATAATTTTATATAAGTAAATTTTAAGTATACAAATCGACTATTATACCGATAAGACATTTTTATAAACTGATAATTGATGTACAATATCTTTTATTTTTGAGAGAAAATATTGTTAACAAAGAGATAACAATATTTTCTCTCTCTTTTATTGTATATTAATGTATCTTAATTGTATTGTACTTAATTATACGTAGTACAAGTACAGTAAAAAATAAAAAGTAGCCTGAAATTTTAGTAATCTGAAATATATATGTTTAATAACGAATTATAAAATTTTCATTTTTTTAGATGACTATATATATAATAAAACTCTTGTTGCAGCAAATCAATTACTCTAGTAGACAAATTATTTACATCCACATTTAATTATTAAAAATTAATAGTATTCATCTAAATTTAGAGTTATATTGCAATTTTATACAATAATGTATTACAAGTATTAATACAAAAATATTAGGATAAGACATTTTAAGATTTTAAATATTATATGATTAATTTTTATTACAATAATTACAACATCTTCCTTATTTATTCGTTCTTTATCAAGTATTGAGTTAAAATTTATAAATAAATTTCGTTACATATACTACCGCGTCTACGCTATATACTGATCACTTCTTCTGAGAAATCAAATCATATTACCTATACGGTATCTAATTATTTTATCTGCTACAGATATTATAGTTAAGAAGAGCGTACGTATCATTTATTAATCAATATATAGTTTGTATAGAAAAAGTCTAAATTTCAGCAAGGTCTCATCTATTATAATTATTTTCGGTAAAAACAGAGAACAGCCTATACATTAAAATAAGATAAGAATTGCGAATTTCGTCATATTATATGCATTTTGGATGGTTTTGTCCGCAACTTGCCATTAGCTAGGTATCGGAAATGTGTAAGTAATTTAGTTGTATAATGTATTTTTTTATGATTTCTGTACGTTACTTATATTATATTGTTTGACGCGTTAATTGTATGTTACATACAAATTGTACGATAAAAAAATTTCGAAAAGAAAAGGAAACAGATACATTTGAAGAAAAAAGGACCGCCGATTTTAATTGGCGGGGGTAGACCCGGTAGACGCGGGTAGTAGAGAGTCTCTACAGATTGGTTTGTTTTTATTGAATCAAACTTTAATTGATTTCTGAAATTAAAAATATACAGTTTGTATAGGAAAATTTTAAATTTAACCAAGGTTTCTATCGTAATTATATTCGGTCAAAAAAAAGGTATATTTTCAACTTTAAACGTTGACCTCGACATTGCTTTAGATTTGAATCTAACGTCAATATACGAAACAAGTAAACAGCAATGAAATTACACGTCAGTAAATGTCGAGACTCTAGTAAGGGAACACTACCTTCGGTAACTTCCGCATCAAAGAGAAAATAATTCACCCTTTTTCGCAAACGCGGTGGAGCAAGCAAGGTAATAAAACGCAGAATAATGCGCAACAGATTCTTTTTCTTCTTTTAATTATAATCTGTCAAGTTTAAGAAACAATTTGGCTGTAACATTTTGTGATAATTTCTATAGTCCTTGAAAAACTTCCAATTTTGCTTCCAATTATATAAAGAAACAATCAAATAAACGTCTTTTTCAGATCAATCACCATAAAACGAGAGAATTCACGAATTCACGAATTCACGAAACGTTTATTTCTTAATAATAACAAAATTACAATAAAATTTATGCGATCACATTGCGATAACCATAAGTGTATAAATCATCTAACGCTATTCATTTTAAGAACTTTCTAAATCCGGATAGCTCTTTTCCACGCTTGAATCAAACGATGTTTACGAAAATAAGGAAACGTTTACGAAAATTCTTCAGTCGGAACAATAATAACGCTCCATCCTCTCTTACCTTCGATGATCCTACAGTATGGTACCAGCTAACATACGTGAACTTATCAAACTGCAGTGGAATCACCACTTTGCCAAAAGAGTTGGGCGCCTCACCCCACCTTGAAAAGCTCGTTCTGTCGAACAATGGTTTTGGAGCGTCCGTCGAATTTAAATGGCACTGGCTGCAACAAACGGCCATTCAGAATAATCTACGTTTTCTAGACTTGAGCAAGAATTCAGTAAGTTGTATTTTATCTTTACACGGGAATAAATGGATCACGGATTCTGTCGTCGGAGAAATGAATTTAATTGACCATTGTCATTGGTAATCACAATTTTGTCATTGATTACAGTTGACCGAACTACCGGCGTGCATCGGGAAATTAAGTGCTTTGACAGAGCTGATAGTTTGCCATAACTCGCTCAGATTTTTGCCGCGGGATTTGGGCACCTTACCTCACCTTGAGAAGCTCGTTCTGTCGAACAATGGTTTTGGAGCGTCCCACGAATTTGAATGGCACTGGCTGCAACAAACGGCCATTCAGAATAATCTACGTTTTCTAGATCTGAGCAAGAATTCAGTAAGTTGTATTATATCTTTACACGGGAATAAATGGATCGCGGATTTTGTTGTCGGAGAAATAAATTTAATTGACCATTGTCATTGGTGATCACAATTTGTCATTGATTACAGTTGATGATTGTACTACCGGCGTGCATCGGGAAGTTAAGTGCTTTGACAGAGCTGATAGTTTGCCACAACTCGCTGAGATATTTGCCGCAGAGCATCGGAAATCTACGAAACTTGCAAGTTTTGAGATCATCGAATAACAAATTGTTCTATTTACCGGGAAGTATGATGAACATGCAACTGGAAACTTTGGACGTTTCGACGAATGACTTTCTTACACTTGATGGTACTCTTATTTTCAAGGAGTTGACGCTTCGTATCTTGGCAGCTAAAGTGGTCTTGAAGAACAGGTTTGTTGGCTTCACATCCATTCTTCTTTCTGCCCACGTTGTGGGCATGGCACACGCATGTCGCCGCTCGAAATAAGATACACGATTCGAGCCGAAATAATAGCTCTGACGTTTCTGTAGATCAACATACCGAAAAGAAAGAGACAACATACCACCTGAGTTGTTCAAGCAGTTCGAGTATCTTGAGACTGAAACGAATTATTGCCTTTATTGCAAAAGGCCTTGTTTAGACTCTTATATAACGGAGTTCATGAGGCTTAACCCGCTCTGTATTGCCAATACGACGATATTGGACACAGAAGAAAACGAAATCTTGTCTTTTCAATGTTACTTCTGTTCGCCCGATTGCCGTGAAAAATCGAGAATTTTAAATATTTGGTTGGAATAGAAGATAAACTTTGGAACTTGAACAGTTATATGCAAGTTTAAGAGTAATATTCAACATTTGATTCGTGATAAAATAACTCTGAGGTACGTCTTCTAATCTCTTAATATCACAATTAACATCCGGCCATTTAGAATAGTTTACAATAATTTTTATAATATTAATTTATAATAATAAGCTTCATTTGTGCGCAGTCGCAATGTATTGTATGTATAATACTTACATATAATACTTATATAATTTGTAAATTAACAAAAGAAAATGGGCTCACCGAAATCCTGACAATCTCGTTATGCAAGACTAAACATAATCAAAATGATTGCACAATTTTATCATATTTGCATATTTTTTTATTTTGACATTTACTTTATGTATCCTGCAGTAAGAAAAGTAGTTTGCATGCCAGCAGATTCGAGCAAAATATTATGCCACTTTGCCACAATGTTTTGCTCGAGCAAAATTGTGGCTGCTTAATTGGCCGATTGACAACTGCATCTGCATTAAGCTCATATTTTACCGCATAGCAGAATTTATCGAGGAATTCTCATAATAGATTTCTAGCAGAAACTGAGTAGATCATTTTGTAACAATTTAAATGGAATATTTTATTTAAATAATTACGAAATCGCAGAATCTCGTTTTTTGCTGGCAATTATGTATGTTCCGTTAATATAAATTCTGTTGCACTTATTTTGCTGATAAAATTTGTAGCAAACATTTCGTTAAATCTGTTTTATTTTTTATTTTTTAAATTTTAACTGTTTACGCTATTTTATTGTACTTACCATACATATTTCGCGATACAAATTTTATATAAATTTATATAAATTAATTTTAAGTATATATATACAAATCTACTATTATACCGATAAGACATTTTTTTTACATAAACTGATAATTAATACAATTGGTACAATCTTTTACTTTTGAGAGAAAATATTGTTATCTCTTTGATAATTTTATTATTGTATATTAACATAAATATATTTATATACAATTTATATAAAATTTGTAAACAATTAATATAAATATAATAAGATACAATAAATATATTGTATAAATATATTTGTATACAATTTGCATTATTAATATATTTTAATTGTACTTAATTATAGACGTAGGCCAAGTACAGATAAAAATAGTCTAAAGTTAGTAATCTAAAATAAATGCTCAATAATAAATTAAAAAATTTCCATTTCTTTAGAGATGACTAAAATAAAACTCTTCTTGCAGTAAATTAATTACTGTAGTAGACCACAAGACAAATTGTTTACATGCCAATTAACAACTAAAAATTGTTAGTATTTATCATCTGTATTTAGAGTCTGTATTTATCTGTATTACAATTTTACACAATGATGTATTAAAAAAGTATTGATAAAATATTAGGACAAAACATTAAGATATATTCTAAATATTATGTGATAAATTTTTATTATACAATAATTACAATAAATTCCTTATTTATTCGTTCTTTATCAAATATTAAGTTAAAATTCATAAGTAAATCTCGCTACCGTTACATAAATCAATCTTTTCTAAGAAATCAAATCATATTACCTACGGTATTTAATTATTTTATCTGTTGCAAATAGTTAAGAGTGTATCATTTACGAATCAATATTTTGTAAAGAAAAATTCCAAATCAAGGTCTCTATATATATTATAATTATTTTCGGTAAAAAACAAAATAGCCTACATTAAGTAAAAAAAATAAGAAATGCGAAATTTTATCACATTTATACATATATTCATATATTTAATGTTATTGTCCGCAATTTATCGTTATTAGATATCTGAAATGTGTAAGCAATTTAATTGTAATATATTTTATGACTTTTTTATATTTTAAATTGTAATGTACGTATATTTTTTAACGTAATATTATATTTTTTAAATTGTATATATAAAAATTGTACGATAAGAAACAAGAAATGAAAAAAAAAACATGCATTTGAAGAAAGCTAGGAAAACCGCTGATTTTAAAATTGAAGGAGGGTGATAGTAAAGAGCTCCTACAGATTGATTTGTTTTTCCTAAATTAATTTTTTAATTGATTTTTTCAATTAAAAATATATAGTTTGTATATAGGAAAATTCTAAACTGCAAAATCTCAAGGTTTCTATCGTAATTATATATTCGGTCAAAAAGGTATATATAGTCTAAACAATTATAACTGCTTGGTGCATTGTGCATCTTTTCGTCATGCATACATTATATGTTTAAGCAATGCCGTATATATTATATTTAATCTTCTCCATTTCGTTTTTTTATATTATATACATATGTTTTATATACTATAAAAAAATTAACAATATTAAAATAAAAAAATATACTTTTCTTATATTCTTAATGTCTTTTTTATGTTTAAATTATTCCAACTTTTATAGTTATTATTTTTATAATGTGTTGTGAATGCAGCACGCGGAGTAGAACCGAACAATCGTGTATGTAACAGAATCGTGATTATCATGAACATAGCATGTTACCCACCAGAAATATCCTACGTTACGTATAGTTCAATGACGTGTCGTTCAGTGACACGTGGAGGTGTCACTGGACAAGTTCCATCTAAAAAACGGAAGCACGTTCACTCTCAGACTTCTTTTTGATTCAATGATACTATATATCTATAAATCTATTGTATCAGAGAGAAGCCTGAGAGAGGCTATCCCGGCCTTTTTCGTGGGACCATCGAAAGCCCCTATTTTCGAAATTGGTACTACGTAGCCACGTTCATTTTCCCCGACACTGATTTCCGATAAAATATTATTTTGGTGCACGTCCGTGCTACATCTGCAAATGTACATATATACATTGCAGTTTGCAGTGTCGAAAAGAAAAAAAGTGAGAGAGGGAGAGAGGGCTATTACGTATATTTAACATATAATATAAAAATATAAAATAAGTTAATATTTATCGATACATGTAAGATATAAATATTAAACTGATTCTCAACCAATTACAATTGAGAATATTTATATCTTACATGTATCGATAAATATTAATTTATTTTATATATTTATATTATATGTTAAGTTAAATATCTAATAGCCCTCTTTCCCTCTCTCACTTTTTCTCTTCTTTCACTTTCACACTTCCCAGACAGCACAATGTCCAAAATCGGGACATAATAAGACGTACGCTTTTAGACCGCGTCTTAATTATGTTTTATTTTATCTGGGTTATTTTAAATAAAAGATATGTTATCGCTAGAAACCAGCGTCAAATGGGGTCACGTGACTTTTGGCGTCAAGAAAATGTAGTGGGGGAAAAAGTTCAGACCGTTCCAACTTTTTCAACGTGCTACGAAATTCAAATGCCCGTTCTAGACTGGAGGATGAGCCGACTCTCGGCTCATCCGAGTGAGTGGTGTAGACGGGTAAAAATCTATAGGTTATGTATAGTTTATGTCACGTACACTATAGAACAGGCCTGTCTAACCTGCGGCCCGCGGGCCACTCGTGGCTCTTTCCCCCGCCACGGAGCTCGAGCTCGACTCCCCCCACTCTTCCAGTTGGTTTCCTGACTCTTTCCATATTTGACACGTATTCCTAGTTCTAGCGGATATAGCATCTAGCATCTTAGCTTGCTTATGAGCTTACTGTTCTCACGTTACGACGTGTATGCACAGTACAACTTAAAGGCTTAAACCATATTATTAAAACTGAATAATATTTCAATAAGTTATTTATTGATCGGCCTGACTGGCAATAATTGATTAATGTTAAACGACGTTTTGATCTCTAATTTGGGTCTCCTTATCAAATTACATTTAATGCTGGAACAAAATAAATTGCCGGTAACAAATATAAAATGGAAACAATAATGCAAATTACATATTCAACTTACATGGATCATTATGCGTCAAAAGTTATAAATTACTATAGTCATCGTTAAAACTTGTGTAACGGGGCGATAGAACAAAGGAATGTAAACTCATACACTTTTTGTTTTATTCGTTGACTGCGCTTGACTAAAGGTCAATCCAGACAAACTTGCATAGCGCATAAACATAAGCATAAAAGAATTGATTGGTCCATACGCATGTGCATAAGGAAATAGACCAATCCGTTTCGTTATGCGCATGGTTATGCACCTATGCAAGTTTGTGTGGATATAGCTTTACAGAGTTTATTGTGGAATTTATTTTTAATTTACACTTTTTGTTTTACTCGTTGACTGCACCTATTTGGCTCATAGTTTTTATTTTCTATTTACACTTTTGGTTCACGCGTTACCTGCTCCGATTTGATTCATTTTTATGTATTATTGTCGTGAATTTAGACTGCGCCTGATTGAATTATGTAGATCAACTTCGTCGAATTTTATGTATTATCTTCGGGACCGTCATGTATTTTCTTTACGCTGAAGATGACACAAAAAAGTGTCGAAACGTCCGTTTTTATTATAATATATTTATTGTTACGATAATTTGATTGCGCATTAATTACCGCGTTTGGTTCCTATTGCCTCCTTATTTCCTTTACTTATTGATTTATTCAGGAAAGCCTACTTTTATTTAATTTATATTATATATTATATTCTGAAAAAGTCGCATATATATACCGAGATATCACCATCAATACCATACTCAGTTATATTGCTTTATGCGTAAATAAGAATATGACACGCACTTGTGCTCTGTATGCGTATTCTTAGTTACGCATAAAGCCATCGAATATAGCTATTCTACTTCTACTCATGCTGCGAGAAACCGCTGCCCCGATACTACTGGATGGTGGGGGAAGTCTGAAGTGGTAAGAGTGGGAGCAGTGGCTCCTTCGCTTCGAGCAGTTAGACAGGCCTGCTATAGAAGGCGGATGAGCCGAGAGTCGGCTCATCCTCCAGTCTAGAACGGGCAAAAGGTTTGACGTGTTTGAAGTTATACAATGGGTGACATCAACGAGAATGAAGTAAGTAATATATTAATATTATATGGTAGATATGGAATATTTTGATCATTCTTGTGGATAAATATGCTGCTTTTTAGGGTATTAAGGGGATGCTGGAGCCGTAGCCGAACTCGATCGACGTCGGTAAAGAAGACCGGCGAACTATATCTGTCCTTGTATAGACAAAGATATAGACAAGGATAGCACAAAGGTTCGGCCCCAGTGAAACGCATACTCCCTCGTCTTCGCCAACCGAAGGTTGGCAGCAGCCGGGAGAAAAAGTACCATTATCATATGAATAATCGTTCGAATATTTTGTTTAAAATAATTTTTGTATTACCTTCAGAAACGTTGGGAATGTTAATATTATTTTCATCATCCATGTTAAATGAAATATTCCTTGTATCTAAGTTGTCTAAAACTAAAAAAATATAAAATTCTTCTTTCACTGTTACTTCTCATCTTTGCTCAATATAGATAATAATAAGCATACTCTTCAAATTGTTATATTGTAATTCAGACATAAACATTTGATTAATAGTCAATTAATTTTTTGTTTCCAAGTTCAATTTCTGGAGCAATTTAAATTTTGCAATAATAATAATAAAAGAATAACACAGTAAAATTTTGCAATTTCTTTTTCTTTGATGCTCGTGCACGTGTGCTCTGCATGTCTTCTATTACGTGGTGGTAGAGGAACATTGAATACACGTGCTCGCGATCGCAGGTTTGCAAAGAAACATTTCTTTATTTAAAAAAATGTGAAAAACTGTTTTTTTTTTTTAATATTCAATTAGATAATAATGATATACTGTTAAAATTAAATTTTTATTTTAAAAAAGCACACAAAGCATGTGCTTGCGATATTTCATATTTGCAAAGAACTATTTTATTATTTTAAAAAATTTTGAGAAACTATTTTTTTATTTTAATTATTTTAATAATAATATATAATAATGCCGCGAAACGAGACTAACAGGAAAATTCCTGAATTCGAATAAAATATTACGAAAACTATTGTAGCTAATATGTAAAATATTTAATTAAGTCGAGAATTGCAACTACATGATCTTTCTTCAGTCGTTTATGCATAAGGCATAATTATCAAATAAAATATTAAACGAATATTATTTCTGTGACGCATGATCCATTTCTTCTCTCTAAATCAATTACGTACCTTTATTACGCTTCTTTCTAATTATTTCAATGATGCAAATGCCAATACGTTATTCTATTAAAATTTATAAATCACAATAATTTCATTTAATTCCCTGCTCATTACATTGTTTATAACGTATTGCAATCATTTTCAAAGTTTTAATTTGCTTCCTTTACTAATCTTACTTTTTTATTTTCAGGTATACGCTATCCTCACTCTGGATCTGGATCATCAGTGATGATCGGTCGAGTTGCAGTTTGCAGTTTACATCAAAAAAGAAAGTTTCCGTTGAGCGAAAAAGAGAGAGAGAGAGAGCTACATGATAGAAAGAGAAAGAAGATGGCAGATGTGCGTGGAGTGACCTGCGTTGACCTGCGTGACCGCCCAGGCGCTCGCTGCGTATGCTGGAAGGAGAAATCGGGAATGTTTGAATAGATCGAGAATAGTCGAGGTCTGTTCTCGCCTACCTGTCGAAGAGTGCGGACGTATGGTCGAGTGCGGTCTTCGAGTATTCTAGATAGCGTAAGTGTAGCGAACGTAAGCAATTTAAATTTTTTAATTTTTTTTTTTTTGGTGCGTGTAAACGTGTGTATACCGTTGTTCTTTTACCGTGTGAAACACAGACCACGTGGTAAAACATGTTATAACGTGTATCGGAAAATGAGATAAAAGATACATTCAGTAAGATAAAAAATACATTTCGGAAAATCTTAAATCCATATTCTGCCTCTCTTCTCCTTCTCTCTTTTACTTACTTTTATATTCACCCTTTGCCTTCACCTACTCCTTCTCTCCCTCTCTTCCAATCCTTTCCTTGCTCTCACGATGCTTCCCTTCAGCTTTTCCACGACGCGTCTCTCAAGTTCGCTCCTCGCCTTACTTCCCGCCACGTGCGTTTGCCATGCGCTCACCTCGCTCAATCGATCCGGGAAGTCAGGCTACGGGAGTTTAGGTGACGACCAAGACTTCTTGGACAAGGCACAAATTACTGGACCCTGTTTTGCGTGTCGCCCTAGGAGGTTCTGGATAGGTCTCTTTTCTTCGGGAGCAGCGGATCGGTTGCTGATCTCGAGTCGAAGTGTCTTCTTTCGCCGCGGCGCCGATTTTTATAAAGGGGATGATAGATTCGGCGAAGAGGCCGATCCTCGTGCGAGCCGCGCGGCGGTCGGAGCAGTGCAAAATTACGCGCGTTCGCACTCGGCGGAGATCGAATCCCGTCGGCGTTCGTCGTGGACCCGAAGGGATACCGGTGCCGCGAGCCGCAAACGCTCGCGCACACGATAATTTTGAGAGAATTAAAAAAAGGTGGGCGCACCGCGCACCGCGCACCGCGCACTATCCTCGCCCGACGGTCGGGCGGCATCCGGCGGGTGTTAGCCGGGAGACGATGCGTTGACAAGGGTGCATCGTTACAAAATAAATAAATACATATATCTATTTCATAAAAAAGAGTACATATGCGGATCAGTTGCTTGCGGATGTTACAATGCAGAATATTGAGATCAAAATTAAAATATATAAAATAATTATTTATTAACAATTTATTTATTATATATTCCATAATAATAGTACAATTTGTTAATAAAAAAGTAAAGAAATTATAATTTCAGTAAAAATTAATGTTTTTAAGAATAAATACTATAGATATACACTATTCCCTGTAGAACAAGATTTGCAATGTATTGTTAATTAAAATCTTTTTCTACAAGGGCTGCAATATATTCACAGCCAGTACTAAAAATCTATAGTTTACATTACGTAATACGCATGCAGACAATAGTGTGTCAGTATTAACAATGTGAATGGAAGGAAGATAAATTTAGATTATGTACATGCTATAATTGCAAATATATGATGTTATAATGCATTTTAGCATATGCTACAAAAGCAAGGATTATAATTCTCCATATTTTTGGTCTTTTTTCAGAGAGAAAATATGGCATCCAATTACCAATCTTTATATGGTGAGAGTTGTGGTCGATATCCTTATATCGGCAGAAAATCCGTAGGAGAAGAGGATATTAGCGTTGACTTCAGCTATCAATTTGTGAAGAAAAGACACGTTAAAATCCACTCTAATCTCAGTGTATTTTATACGGCCCCTGACATAATTGGACCACCCAAATTTTCAAACTATGGAGAACCATTTCAGGTAATTATCTAGAATGTTTAACCCTCAGAGTACGGACTGGGTTAGCGTAACCCGAGCGAATTTTGAAAGTAGCGCCATTTCAAAGGAAGTATCTTTGTGTCTTTGTGTGTATCTTTGTTTAAACAAATAATGTAATAAATCTATCAACGCCATTGTATTTTTGAGAAAATTTCCAATCCAAAAAAAAATTGTTTCAATTGACAAATTACAGCCCGATATACAGTCAATCAAAGTCGCCGGGTTAGGCTAACCCATGTCCGTACGGAACGTAACTTTTTTATAGTCCGTACCCTGAGGGTTAAATAGACGAATTTCCCTTCATGACTTTACCTTTGACATATGTTGCCAAGATCACTCTTCTGAGTAACATTCCAAAGATTTAGCCGTCGTTATTGATTATAAAGTTATTAACAAAATATATAAATAGAATATAGATTTCTTTAACACCGTATAGATAGATAGAACTATACCACTTTCGATTCTTTTTTACATGCAAACGTTCAATTCTCGTTTAGAGGTCTATCATGGTACATACAATGCGGGTTTTCACTTTCACACGAAAAGCGATGTCATCTCCACTCCACCCCTGCTCAATAGGCAAGACGAGATCTATCATTGAATAACGGTTTAACTTTCTAAGCGAGGCTTACCCCACTCTATCTCTGTTTACAGGACGAAACGAGGTTCACCCTAGGGTTCCTCTAGTAAGAATTACGACACCGTCCGTAATTAATAATTACTAGGGATATATAGCAAACGATCGAGAGAGACAGCCTTCCTACTCTCGTACTTTTCATTTGGATGTTAAAGTTTTGTCTCACTTGCACTAACTTCTTCCTTATTAATGGCGAACCAATCAGGAGTTATCACGCGGGGTCGTATAATTACTAGAGGAACTCTAGTCAATCCCTGCTAAAGGGAGAGGCTGAATCCCTCTGCCGCCCACATGTATACTGTCTATAAACACATATCAGCAAATTGACTTTCCTTAATTAGCACTATTATATTAATTCTCAAACTTTTTTATTAATAACGTTTTAATAAATAACGAACGACGGCTAAAACTTTTGGAAGGTTACTCAGGAGAGTGCTCAGTATAATATGTACATCAAGGTTAAGGTCGTAGAAGGTTGCTTCTCTAAACTAAATAATTATCCTATTTTATTCTTCGAGTTTCAATGGAGAAACATATTTCATAGTATGTGTATTATTCGTTATATTGTCCTGTACAAAGTAATCGTAATCTAAATTTATATATTACAAGATTTTTTCTACTATTTGATACATTTTGACTTTTCAAAACAGAAATTGAATGGATGGAATAGTGATATCAACATTTCAATAACTCCGTGGCAATACGAAGAATCCATGACAACTTATCATAGAATACTACTTCCGCCACGGGATCAACCGATCGGACATAATTACATTGGTATGTGATACCTGAATTCACAAGTAAGATATTGTTAAAGAAGATACGTTTTTGTTGAGAAAAGAGTATAATTATGTTTTCTTTTTTGAAGATATCGAATTTCATGAAGCTGTATATCCAATCAGAGTTTCTATATACGAAATGTCACGAAACAATCCTGGAGACGTAATTCAAATTTTGGCTCAAGATGATTCTAATAATAAGTGGTTTAAATTGTGGGGAACTGATTATAAGTCTGAGATTGATCTTCAACAACAATTGGCAACTGAAACTGATTATAAGTCTGAGATTGTACCTCCGACATCAAGATTATTTTCTCCACCCTTATCACACCCGCGTGACTTTAAAACAAAAATGCTAAGATTATTTTTTAAAGACAGATATACAGATTTCCATGAAATACCTCTTTACACAAAGCTAGATGCTGTGATGCTTATCGGTACATCAAAGTTGGTTCGTCCTAAAAATTATGACAAGAGTTTAACTAATCTGTTAAAGGAAATTAATTGCATGTACTTTTCACACCATGAGAATATTCATAATTTAACAGCAGATTTCAAAAATGCACATTTGGATATAGATTATTTGCAACGACATTTTTCTGAATATTGCATTATAATGGAATATTGTAAGAATGGAAGGTATTATTATCAACATTAAGTAATATTAAAATCTCTTTCTTCTGATAATAATAAAAATGAATTTGTTCCGATGTTATTTGCAGCTACATAAGAAGGGTTTCTAAGGGGAGTATTTTGAGAGAGAATTTGATGCACAAAAATGTATCTCTGGAGGTAATTCGTCATTCGAATTGTGCAAAACGTATAAAACTCTCTTCGGATGAATCCAAGGAGCTATCACGTTGCAATATATTTGACCTTCCTGTAAAGTATTCTAAGAAGCCTATTTTTTATAATATTTATTGCAATGTCATCTCGTGTATTAAAGTTTTATATTTTATTTTTGCAGGATGAAATACTACTAATAATATTAAAAAACTTGGATCTGATGACGTTATGCCGCTTGAATCGTGTAAATAAACGCTTCAATTATTTGATACGAGATCCTCGACTCTATACACGTTTGAATATACACTGTTCACCTTTCGCAAAGTATTCTGTGAATTTTCGGTTAGATATGGCAGAACGCGATATGAGCAATATATTTTGTTACTTTACATCTAGATGTAAATATTTGCAGCAGTTAGATCTTACAAAAAGCATATTTAGTGTTGAGGATTTTAATAACTTCCTTGATAATTGTGGCAGACGTTTGACGCACTTAAGATTAGGATACTGCCGTTCTATCAATAATCTTGCCCTACTCAAAATTTCAGAGATATGTGTAAATTTGAAAGGTACGTATATACATATAAAGTACATGAAACATGTGATTGTCGGGATTATTGATAAATTGTATATGCCTAACACATATTTCTTTTTAGAATTGAATCTAGATTATTGTCATCGCATAGACGACGAAGGATTTTCGTATCTAGAGAAATTAAATGGTTTGGAACATTTAAACCTTTGTAATGCACATGCCTTAAAAGCTGAATGCCTTTACAAAATACTGCAAAAAAATCAACGGATGCGTGAGGTCAATCTTGAAAATTCACTCTATATGAGAACTACACCTGCAACACAGCTGTATAAATTTATAAATTTGTGTCCTAACTTGGAAGTAATACGTTTAGAGGACCGTATTCTTACATCGCAGGATTATGACGTTCTCGTTGACTGTAAAAATTTACGAAAAGTGTACCTTCCCCGGTAAGTGGTGCTTTTCAATTTTTTTTTCTTAATACATTACTATATTCTTGATTGAAATTTGTGTTTGCTTCTCTTGCATTTCGAGGATCTTGAAAAAGTTACATTAATTTTCTTTGTGCTTCCTCATAGAGAAAGCTTTGTTTCTTGTGGAAAAATTTTTTCAGTTTTCTTTGCCAATGTGTTCTAAATATTCTAAAACGTTGAAATATCACATTTTTACAAAATGTCCGTACGCGCGCGCGTGTGTGATATCGGGTTAAATTTTGAATTTGGCGATGATTGTTAACGGAGTCCTTTAATTTTATATAAATTTTGAATGTTTTGAGAAATGTCCGCGGTAGCTCTAACTTCCGCAAATTTTGAGATATTGGACTATTTATAATACCATTATATTCTTCAGTCTTTTTTACCCCTATTTATATATAATTTTTTAAGATTTGGTTGATTATACCTAGCTTTATACGCGATCAAAGGTCCATATGCGGAGTCCGTATATAAACCGTATAGCCTGAACTCCCAAAGTCAACTTCGATTTGACATTGCGTCGATTGTAAAACTCCATTTGTGCTACTAAGCTGATTTATCAATTCATAAAAATGTTAAACTTAAAATTTAAATAAAAGTGTGCAAATTAGGAACTTGCTTCTTCATTATTTCAGATCAATCGCTACCATTGCTCCTATTTTATTTAGTTTATAAAGCTTTTCGCTATAAAGAAGCCAAACTAATAAATACTAATAATTATACATCAAGCAAAATACAAGCTTCCTTATAAGAGAATACTTTATGAGCGAAATAAAATGTTAAATTGCTCTGAATAGGAGCAATGGTAGCAATATGTAATGATGAGGAAACGATGTACAAATTTCTAATTTGTACACTTTTTGTAATTAGAATACTATATAATAGTCATATGATTTTTGTTACAGATTCTTTCGTCCAGACGCTGATAATTACTTGCACAAATTACTTTCTTCCTGGCAACGTTTGGAATTAGTTACTTTAGGCTCTATTGTTCTCAATGATCACAATTTGAAATTATTAACGCAGTGCAAAAACTTAAAACAGTTACAACTTCATCGGGTGGCACTTGTTACACCTGATAAGTGTTTTACTATTTTGGAACAATGTCCAAAACTGCAAGAGTTTCATCTCATATTTTGTAACATTCACGATTGTTTGGTTAACGTATGGAAGGAAAGATATCCGCATGTGTCCACCTATATATTTGATTGATAATTTGAAAAGTTTTGTTAACCCTTTTGAGATATATACATATATATATATATACATATATTATATATGTAGCAATTTACTTTTTAAAAATTATCTAGCGAACTAGATTGTAAAAGAAGTTAATGCCTAATAAAAACGAAATATCCACACTTATTTATAATTTATTTTCGAACAGTTTTATCTTCTTTTTTCTTTTTTGTAATTTGACCCTTTTGGCAGATAGTCATTTTTTTGCTTGAAATAGTTGTTTAGCGAAATATTAAGGCAAACTATATTAAGGTTCTTGGGCTCTTTCCGCTATCACGTAAGATTAATTGTGACGTCAGAAGCGAGAAATGACACGCTGAGAATTCTTGCGTGCCACTTCCAAATAAAAAGATATTTGCATAAAATAAGCACTTCATATCACTTCAGCACACTTCAAAAATATTCCGAGGTGCTCATGATCTTTACGTCTGCTATATTACTACCAATAATGCTACCAATTGACAATATTTTAGATTATATACATAATAATCGTGCAAACATTCCTGCACTCTTATTGCATTATTTTCTGAAATTGTATTACAGATCAAAAATTCTGGAAACATCGGAAACATTGATCGATAAGACCCTTAGGACCCACAATTTGGGTATAAAGTTGGTTAATAAGCAGTCTATCAAGTCGATATTTGCGGGATTTTTGATCTATAATACAATTTCAGAAAATAATGCAATAAGAATGCAGAAATGTGTGTACGATTACTATGCATATAATCTAAAATATTCAACATGGTTTCTATCGTGGCGAAACGAAACATATTCATACATGTCAATAAACTTGCTTTAGGCAAATATTTCAGTCCTATCATTAGGACGTCTTTTTTCTAGTGAGCCCACAGCAATAATCACCGTATAAGATATGGTACCGGTACTTTGAAGGAATGTATTATATACAGCTATCTCCGGACATTCGCATATACACTTTGTAAATGTGCTGACATAACAACATTTTTCGGTACTAAAATCTAAAAAAGTTAAATATGTCAATAAAAATTAACCTTTAGCCGGCACACTTCACCAGAATCACATAACTGGCACACTGGGGCCGTTTCAGACCCCACCACTAAAATATGCTTGCTGCGAGGAAGCTATTGATTTTTTTATTTAAACAATTCCACGATAGTCTTCGAATGTTGTTTTAACAAATGTCGTAGGTTATTTTGATAAAATGTAATGTTAAGTATGAAAAGAATTGGAGAACGTATAAGAAAACGAAAAAATGACTGTTACACTCAAAAGGTCATGACTCTTATATTTTAACTCTTCCATTTTTTACCACCATTTTCGTACTATAGGGGGGCTTAAATTAGAGGTGAACTAGAGTGGGGCATTTAATACCCCACACACAGTGCCAGCTAAAGTTAAATATATATTTTATTTTAGTTCAACTAAAGTAATTTCTAAGAAAATATTGTCACTTTATGTGTAAAAGTATTTCATTTCTCTTTCATTAACGTTCTATTTCTTTGTAAATTTTTATTAGTTTTATCACTAATATCAATAATAATCAATCGATTGTCATTGTTCTTATGTAAATAAATATATGCAAAATCCATACAAATAGTGTTTAAATTTTATCGTAGCAGATTATGCAAATTTGACAGATGAGATGTCTTGGCAAGGAAACCATGCTGTAGAACATATTAGCTGAAAAAAATTGGACTTTTATACATTCTACATTCATGTAGAAAAATATCATTGTTTAGCCAGTATACCTTGTTGTTGTTAGACAATAGGAAAGAATATAAACCGCATCAGCAGTTTGCGCAGGTGTTAGTCAGAATAGTGCAGGAGAGTTTGGTCTTGTTTCATATTCAATTTGAATTTTACATCTGAAAGTATCGTATTGTGGGTGTATTCAATTTTTACATCGACAACTTTGGATAGATGTTTCTCTAAAAATATCTTATAATTCTTATATTTACTCAGAGTTACATATATGTAATTGTTGTAACTAGGTGTAATCTTAATGCCATCTATCGTTTAGTTCGTTTCCACTAAACATTGTCAACCCCTTATGAAAAAATACACTCAACTTTGATGGTTAACACCCAAGTGTTAACACACAAATTTAGGGGCATAAGTTTAGTGTTTGCCATCAAAGTTAAGTGTCAATACTTAAATTTAAGTATAGATTAAGTATTGACCATTAAGGTTTAGGTAAGTTGTGGATTAAACTTTCAATGATGAGTATATATTGGGAGTTTATCCTCAATGATAAGTGTAGAAATGTATTGAAAAATATTTCTTGTATATAAACTGAAATGTTTTTTTATATCTTTTAGCAATATAATATAAATATTTATTATAAACATTTCGATCAATGTTAGATATATCTCTGCGACAAATATTGTAGTATTATTTTTGGAAATATTAAAAATACATTGGATAAATATCCCAAATAGCAAAGAAATAGTTTTTAAACGTTTTTAAAAACGTTTTTAGTAATAAAAAGATAATGTTTAAAAAAACATTTAAATTAATGGGATAGATCCTTTTTTCTTATTATTAAAAAATTTTTTAATTTAATATTGTAAAAAATATAAGGATGAACATAAGGAAACCAGATGCAATCACAACTGTGCAAAGTTATCAAGGGAAATACGTTTACGTCTTCGATATCAGCTCTCTGTTTCAAAACGAGATATTTTTCATATAATTATAATTCCCAAGAATTTCAGCATGATATACCATACAAACTGCTTTCAAGATCGCGGCTTAATTTTGATATCACATCTTCTAAGAAGTTATTTTACGTTTTGATTTAGTCACAAATTTTTACAATTTACCTGCGTATATACATTTTTTTATTACACAGTACCACAGCCAAAATAATTATTGAATTTCGCTGGTGGATTATGATAGGTGATGGGTGTTTCCATATAGCACACTGATACTAATCGTTCGTTTACATTGCATCAAAATTTTACTTTTTTTTTAATTTGATGGTTGGCCACATTGAGCTACTTTTAGAACCAAATTCGGTTTTATTTTAAAGCATAATTATAAAATAATGACATTTTAACAAAAATTTAACTTTCTGAACATTTTTATTTAAAAGTAATAAAATAAAATCAATTACATTTTCAAAAAAAAATTGAAGAAGGAATGGTTGTGTGAAAATTGTTTATATTTTTCTTAGCGGCAGTTTAAAAACGTCGTCCTCAAGGACCAACATATGTCAGCCAGAAAGAATCCAGTTTCTTTCCTTTTATATCGTATCTCTAGACTTGACTACTTGGTGAAATATCTCTCTCCATATTGTTTATTTGATTCTGTAGGTAATTGCCTTTCGAAATAATCTATAAACAAGGGAACTTCGCGAATCTGAAAATTCTGATTTTGATGAAACTTTATACTCACATGAACAGAGGGAAAAAGTAACATTTACATTTACTAATGACTTACCCATTAAAAAAAAATTAGGTTAATTGTTGCAAAAATAATTATAAATTTTGGTGTAAAATTTGGCCGATTCTCTCCCAAGTTTCATTCAACATATTTTCTTTATTTTTATGATACCTTTTGATCGTTCGTTTACGCATTTTTGGCCATTCGTACAAAGATTGCAATATAGGAACATGCATAATTTGTCAAACAATATTTAATGGCAAAATACAAAACTGACCTAACTTTCTCAGGCCATCCAACTTTAATGCATAATAGCAGCCAAAGAAGCCTGCAAAATACGTGCGTTACGTTTTACGTTAAGTAATTGCGAATCAATTTGTGTGAATGAGAATTTTTCTTCCCATAAAGACTTTTCCGACAATTCCGGTAGGACAGGTGTAGAAAAAGTGTCACCGAACCACAAGCGCCATTCAACGCACCATCTAACATCTGAAATCAACATAGAAATTATTATTTTTAATGCTAAATGTATAAATATATACTGATAAAACTATGTTTTTTTGTATGTATAAAAAGGATATTACCTCCTTATTGTTAGGAAATTTTTTATACAAGTAATTTAACCAATCTGCAGTATTAATGCTTTTAAATGCAAAATTATTAAAATAAGATTTAAGAAATGGTTCGAATAATGTGGGTCCTCCTAACATATTCCCTAGATGACATAAAAGAAAATATCCCCTTTCGCATGGCACATATTTAGTGACGTCAGGTGACGAATCTTCCAAATTAGGTAATAAGCATTATAGCAAAGCAACATTTGCGGGTTCTTGGACCTACAATACAATTTACAGTATTTACACAATACAATTTCAGAAAATAGTCCAGAAAGAATTCAGGAACTGGATGTGTGTTTATAATTCATACAATGTAAAATATTGTCAATTGATAACATTATATATTACTTTATTTCTTTATCTAATCAAAGTTAATATCTCACCAAACTATTCAGGTTCTTTAATCCCTCCCTTTGAAGAAAAACATCTATACCTTCATGATATAAAATTGTGCGCATGATTTTTCTCGAAATAAAAATGCTGAAACTCTTATTTAACCACAAATGTTCATAATTGCAACATGTAACTAAATTTCCTGCCCAAATCTGTGAGATGTTCCGAGCTAGTAAATAACCGACATAAAAACGATCTCCGTAAATTAGAAACGGTGAAATAAATATCATACATGGACATTCTATTTCGAAATGGGCGATACTTGGTGGAAGCAGGCATATATCGTATCTACCTGGAGATATATTATTTGAAATGTAATAACAAAAACCAATGGAAAGATTAAACTGCAAATCCGAGTGTTATTTTAACATCCAGAAATATCTAAAAATGACTCATTTAACTGACGCTTTTTTTACATGCTTCTTTATGTGTTAAATTACGTCATTTAACACGCATAAGCATAAAATTAAAAGTTAATACGTTCAATCGTGTTAAATGATGTGATTATAAACGGCAAGAAATGCGTAAGAAGGAGCTCCAACTAAAATAACACACTTGGGTTTGCAGAGTAATAAACAAAAAGAACAAAAATTTATTATACGTATAAATTTTAATAAACATATCAAAATAATTTAAAAAAAGTTACAAAAATTTAAATTTAATTCAATTCAAATAAATAATATTAAAAAATTTATGTACTTTACCCCACACGTAAGATCCACATAAACGTTCGGTAAACTGCAACATTTCTTTAATTATGGTGGAAGGAAAATCATTTATATATTTAGTCTTGAAAATGTATTCTTCGGCAAATATATTCATTTCTTCGTTAAGTTCTTTTTCCTTTAGTAAGCCCACAGCAATAATTACCGCATAAGATGGTACAGATATGACGGAATTTATATTTATCTAGTTCCGGATCCTTCCTGTCTACTTCAAGCGAAAGTGCAGACATTAGAACTCTATAATTTTTTGGTACTAAAATCTAAAAAATAAAACATACGAATAACAAAATTAAATTGATATATTTTATTTCAATTTAACTGAAGCAACTTCTAAGAAAATTTAGGCATTTAACTATATTTTAAACATCTAATTTTTATTTTACTAATGCAGTTTATCTCGTCGCAAATTTTTATTACTTTTATCAATAATGTCAGTAATAATTAATCAAATGTCATTGATTTTATGTAAACAAATAAATGTTGGCAAATACCACCTGCATGCAAATACCACCTGTGCCTGTGTTTAAATTCTTACCGTAGCAGAGTACGTAAATTTGACAGATGGAGTGTCTTGGCAAGGAAACCACGATCTAGCGTTAATTAGCTGAAAATAATAGAAACTTTTATATAATCTATGTTAATGTGAGAAAATGTCTTTGCTTAACCAATTTACCTTGTTGTTAGACAGTAGAAAGGGATGTTTACCATCGGCAGTTTGCTTTGGTGTTAGCCAATATAATGCACGAGAGTCTTCACGTGTTTCATATTCAATTTGTATTTTACATCTGAAAGTATTGTAGACGTATTCAATTCATACATTAATAAACTTTTAGTAAATATATTTCTTTAAAAATATTTTATATTTACTCAGGGTTATCAGTGCCAATAATTGATGGCAAATCTACGCGAATTGCATTTCCAAAGGCAGAATTAGTTTCATCAATATGACGATGTAAAAGTGTTCCATCAAGCGCGTTTGTGACATGTCCTATATCAAGTCCGAGGTTATCTAAAATCTAATTATTCGATATTACATATTAATAAAATCTGCAGTCAAAATTTTTACTCGATATGAAAGGAAACATCTATATACTCACTATCCGATTAATTGAAGGTTTTCTTTCTATTGTCAAAATCACTTTTCCTTTAAGAACTTTTTGATCAAAATCCACAGTCAATTTTAAATGAGTATGGGTTACACGTGCTTCGTCTAATTAATAATCATCAGAAAGATACAGAATAATAAAATATAAGTAATAAATAATGATATATAAATGTAATGAGCAATAAATATACGAAACAAATGACATATTGTAATTAAAATTATTATAGTAATTGCTTGTAATATTATTTGTAAAATGCAAACAATTTTCAAACCTTTAAGCTAGATGCAATATATTTCATGCATTTAAGAATGTTGCTAGTTAATAAAAACTGTAGATAATAATTTAATTTTGAAAACTATGCGTTATTATATAGAACTATATAAGTATATATATAGGTATGTGTAGCAGTTTCGATTTCGAGCATTTATAAATTCCGAAAAAATTTCTTATTTTATTGTATTTTTTTTAAGAAAAAAGTAAATAGTATTTTTATTGTGCTTATACAACAAATTAATAATTCAAATATACCTGGATTCGAAAAAGTGTGTGGATCTCTATTAGTAGCACTTAGAAAATCCATTTTACAAGAGTCACGTTGTAGCCTTTTCAAGCGACTTGCGATAATACAACTGTATGTCTAAACGCACAGAAGAAGCTAGGTGTTGCTTTTAACTTCTATCACTTTCTTTTGTTTGGCAACATATTCTATTTATTAGAACTAGACATCACAGACGCGCGCTTCGCGCGCGCTATTTAGCTCTAAAGGTGCTTTTTCATGGGCGTCAGTTGACGCTCGAAATCAATTAAATTAGTATAATGACGCCGATATTCTGACGCGCAATGAAAAAGGTTTTCATGCGTCAACAATTTTTGGAACTCGCGTCGAAATGCCAGTTGACGCTAGAAATTGGGAAATCTGAACTTCTCAGCGTCGACGCAGAAACAACATGACGTCACAAAATCGTCTTGACGCGCGACAACTGACGCCCATAAAATCGCACCTTAATATTACACACAACTGTCAAAATATGCTATGACAGCCGATCACGAAGTTAGCGCAGCAACAAAATCAATCAGCATCGCGGAAAAGAGCCAACAAAGCAATTCGAGACTTTCGAGAAGACTTCGAGAGATGCGAGTATCGATTTAACATGCCTTTTTTTAGAAAAACTAGCACACACGCGCGCTACGCGCGTGCTTCAAACTTTTTCCGTTCCATTCACCTTAAAACACTCATCCCACATCACCATTTTTCTCCGTTAAAATGTATTCCCTTTCTCATCCACTGTACCAATGTCTATTCGCCACCTCTCGTTTCTTTTTTTCTCTCCGCTCACTTCACATATCTGTCTCTCCCATATTTTGTTTTCTTCTTTCTTTTTACTTTTCGCATAAGACTTATCACACTTCGCTTCCTCGGCTCTTATTTTTTTCCTTACACTTAAGGAGGTTCTACAGATACTCTCTAGTCAGTTGAGAGATGAAGAGAAAATCTTCAAATTCATCGGTTCTAAGTATTCATAAAATATTTTCGTGAATTTTGATGACGTTAGAACTTATATCATACCCATATTAGTCGAAGCGAGGAATAATTAAAAATATCGTGTAAGTGCACCTTTGACTCTGGCGGCTTATAATGGAAGAAAATGTGGTAACGTCGCGAACTTGACAGTTCTGCTCATATGACCACGGTTATTTCACAATTTCACATAATTCTAGAGCGAGTATTCTCCGTAAGCGCTCGTAAACGTTAGGTGCTTAAGTTTGAGGTGCTGTCATACTGTGGTGCTGTACTGGCTGTACACTTTTCGCGCGGGTGCAGTTGCTGCGACATTGCCAAATCTCCCTTGTTATTCGAAGCACGCTACGTGAACTGTGATATGGCCTGTTTCAATAGCCAATATCACAAAATTTTACGCGATAACCCTTGTTTTTCTCGATATTTCTGAAAAGCTTAGATTAAGATCTATAAGAGCTCCGTTTTTTGAGCTTTGGTGGGTCGCCTTTATATAATTAATATCTCGTTTCCTGTCTCCAAGAGCCCCTCTGCCATATGTAGTTTATGTTAAAAACTGTGATTTCAAAATTCATTTTTGCAAATTTTTACACGGTAAACCGATGCTAAAATTTTTCGAGCACTTTTCTTGCATCTCAATTTACACGTCCATAAAGTTTTTTCCAATTTTTTAGATACATCCATTATCTGTAGAACCTCCTTAACTACTCCTTACACTGCACTAACGCGCGCGCCATCCATGTCCATATATTTCCCGTTATATTTATTCTAAAAAATTTATCCCATTCCACTATTTTTCTCCGTTAATTTATTCCTTTTTCTCCTCTACTGTACTAATATCTAATCGTCACCACCTCCCATTCCTCTTCCCTCTCCGCTTACTTCACGTACTTATCTCTCTCATATTTTATTTTTTTTTCTTTCTTTTTATTTCTCATATAAGACTTATTACACTCTAATTTTTTTATTCGGTACCTTTCTTTGTCCGTCAACAGCAACGCGAGGTTCAAGCTATTCATTAGCGTCTTCCCGCGCGATTCGAAAAGATCAAAACGGAGACATGAGGCTGGATTTTCACGGTCGGTTTCAGCGGCTCGTGAAAATCCAGCTTGAGACGTGAATTCCGAGTAGGTTATCGTTTCACTGCGACACGCGGAACAACGATTCCATTAAGATTCCGGATGTATCGCGCTTCGGGAGAGAAGAGGAATCACTTATTTCTCACATACGTACATATAATTTACTCACCATTCAATCACGACGCACTGCAGGAGACCCGCCAAATCATAGCCGGCAGGGTGATATGTACGGCGCGACGTCCAGCACGGCATTCGACGTTCATTTCGTCTAGCGACGGCATCTCACTCGTCTCAGCCGACACGAAGAAGGAACGGAATATTCGGCGTACGTTCAGCTTGCAACACCCCGTAACCGAATTTCTTTTCGTTCGCGAGAAAAGAATTGCACGACCGACGACGTCTCACACCGACGTTGAACGTGTCGCGACTCGCGTATTACTTGCGCCGCTTGGCGGGCGCCGTTGCCGCCGCGCAGTCGGGCGAGACGTCGAACGTGATTGGCTCGCGAGTCGAGCCCCCGAGTCCGGCCAATCACGTTCGGCCGCTCTCGCCGCCGGCGTGGCGGCTCGATGCGGGCAGTCTAGGCACTGCAGAAATCACAGATATTCTGCTTCTCCTTCTCGTGTGCTCCTTCTTTTCATGTCATGTGAACACGTGTCGTCCTATGTTATCCAAGAAAGTGGAGTATCGTACAAGACGTGTCGTGTAAAAATAGAATAATTAAGAAAAAGAAGCTGGTAGAAGAATAAACACTCACTGACAATGACGGAAAAAGTGCGGAGATATGAGAAAATCGATTTTCTGGGCGAAGGACAGGTTAGAACACCGTTTTGCCATTTCAGTGATTTAAGTACTGCATCGTATAATATTTATTTATTTTTAGAACGTTTTTTTATGCATTGTACGATGCCTGCTTGAGATAGCATCACACAATACGCAACTTATATTTAATGCATATTTATACATAGCAATTGCAATACATGATTCCATGATTTAAGTATAAAAATATTATAAATATAATTTGTAAATATACCGTATTGTGTATATTTCAGTTTGCCACGGTTTACAAGGCGAGAGACATAGAAACGAATAAAATTGTGGCTGTGAAAAAGGTTAGTTCCCACGTTATGCAAAATATATATTTCTACTTTTTGTACAATTTGTGTCATAAACTTTTTATATCTGTAAATATAGATTAAGGTCGGAAGTCGTGCAGAAGCTAGAGATGGCATAAACCGGACTGCTTTGCGAGAAATTAAACTGCTGCAAGAGTTAAAGCATGATAATATTATTGGCCTGTTAGGTACTTCATTTTAACATGGAAAAGTTTGATTAATACTCAATTGTTAAAACAAATAATAGGCAAACATGCAAAATTATATAATACAGCTTGTGTAGAAATACATTTTTATGATTATATGCGTATATATTGAAATTTCAGACGTTTTCGGCTATAAATCAAACGTATCGTTAGTATTTGACTTTGTGGATACCGATCTGGAAGTAATAATAAAAGATAGCAATATAGTTTTAACCGCAGCCAATATAAAGGCGTACATGATTCAAACCTTACAAGGCCTGGACTATCTTCATTTCAATTGGATACTTCATAGAGATTTGAAGCCGAATAACTTACTGGTGAACTCAGAAGGCGTTCTAAAAATAGGAGATTTTGGCCTGGCAAAATTTTTCGGATCACCTAACCGGATAAACACTCACCAAGTGGTCACAAGGTGGTACAGAGCGCCTGAATTACTTTACGGCGCTAGACTTTATGGAACTGCGATTGATATGTGGGCGGTGGGTTGTATATTAGCCGAGCTTCTGTTAAGAGTGCCATTTTTGCCTGGCGAATCTGATTTAGATCAACTCACTAGGATATTTCAGGTATTAATACGTCAATATAAAATATATCATTGTGAAATTATCTTATTTCTCTAATTTTGATGTTGTATCATTTCTCTGTTTAGACACTAGGTACTCCAACGGAAGAAACATGGCAAGGGATGACCGAATTACCGGACTTTATTCAATTCAAGCCCTTCCCTGGCACGCCTTTGAAGCATATATTCACTGCTGCTGGCGACGATCTCCTGGATTTAATTGCTAGTTTTCTGAACGTGAATCCTCTGGAAAGGTGTACGTGTGATCAAGCGCTGCAAATGCCATACTTTAGCAATAAACCCGCACCTACAGCTGGATCTAAACTGCCTCTACCCATGACCATTAAACGTCAACGTGAAGAAAGACCTAGTCTAAAAAGAAAACTGTTAGATTCGATGGAAGGAGCCTCTTTAGCTAAGAAATTGCAATTTTAATTGTGATTGATGCTAGAACAAATGGACGAGATAAGAAATTGCTCGCTAGATGCAACCAATGCCAATTTCGGAAGATTAGAGAGATCTCTAATTGTGATACTGTATGTCGAAGTATTGTGTCACGTTGTAGCAAATAATTTTATAAAAGTATTGCTCGAATTCTAATATCTTACACATATATAGTACATAAAAAAGCATGTGTGATTATATTTTAATAATCTAGAATTTTGTGGCAAGAAATTCTAATAACAATTTGTACGATAATATCATAAATCCCTTTTTCAATAAATCACTATATTTCCGGTAATTGATCGGTGAAAATGACAGAGGAGCGGGAGGATATATATATGGAAACAGGCAATAATAATACGCGTGTTGAAAAATACAATGTTACGCTGCGATATCTTTATTAACTTAAAGATTAAAAAACGAGATATTCAAACGATTTCGTAAACCACGAAACATCCAATCTGAAAGAATACGAAAAAAGTAACTAGCTAATCATAAAGCATTAATTTTCTTTCACACCAGGCCGATATTTACGATAAGTACGGACGAGTAACACGATATTCACGTAGCATGTTTCAGTTCGCTAATCTGTGATCGTATTATGGGTGGATTTGTTGGATTTCATGGAGAAACCGAGATAAGTTACAAAAGCTTGTAATTTATCTCGCACCTTACATTTCGCGTATTTCGATCAAAGAACATTTCACTAAATTTACGTCTTATGATTCTGCTAATGCACATTTTGTAGGTAATGCTCATAATTGTACTGCATTGAAATTGCTTCTCTCTTCAATGCACACGTCAAAACGTGCAAACTTTCTTCAATTATGTATGTACATATGTACATGAAGTTATAAATCAATACTGTTATGCAACAAAAATACAATTTAGTACAAGATTATTCTTAATTTATTATATTAATGCATACGTCGAAACGAACCGGCCGCATTCGGAACGGAAGAGATCTGTCCTCTGTCACTCTGCTTCCAGTATAAAACGCAAAGATCCTTAAATTTAACGACAAAGGCCGTGCGAAGATTTACCTTACGAAAGTATATCTTATATTACATATCTTCTTACATACGAGCGTAATTTAGGATGATAGACATTTTAATATTGAAGCAATGTATGTGTGATTTACACCTATGCGTGCCTTGTTCTTTAAATTGTTAAATTTGGTAAAACGGAACAAAAAATTCTTTGTAAAATAATAATACATAATTGTTTTGATGTAAGATGCGTTTGGAGATTAGGGCCGTCATTAATTTACATGTACAAATATACATGAGTTTGTAAGACTATTTCGATCTCTGTGGCAAAGCACATTTTATTTACACGTCTCTCCCTTGCATCGTCGACTATATTACAGTTATTACAAGTATATCTTCGTTTATCTTCTCGTCGATCAATATTGCAAACATCTTGAAAGCAAACGGATAAATTAGGAGTAATTTAATTAGAAAAGTAATCTTAAAAAGCACCACAAAATGTGCTATATAAATGATAAATTTATGTTAACACATATCGTACTCTGGTCCCTTTCGTTTGAATTGAAATATAAGAAATATCTATGTTTTCTAAATATTATTATCTCCATATGATTAGTAGCATAGTAACTGCTAAATGTGTATGTGTGTTTGTAATAATATTACTGAATATTGAAACTCTTAAAGGAAAGCAGCAGAGCTGAATCAATAAAAACTGTGTAGTAATCTGCATTAAATCAAAAATAGAACATCTGACGTGTTTATCTATGTATGCCACTACTCGGTATCATGATTAGTTTTCTATTTTTTTTTGTTTATGAATATTACAACATATACGTGTATGTATATATATAAAATTTTGCAATTGTATTAAACTTCGTTAATGCATACATACATTGTACAAGGAACATTTTAAACTTTAATATTTATTTGCATAAAGTACGTACGCCTTTGCATAGCTCTATCGTGAAATATTAATTTCAATGTTTATTACAACTAACAAATAGTTAAATTTAAAAAGACAAGTTACTATTAAAAATCCCTCTATGGTAAAAATGAAAAATACTGGACATAGTATCAGAAAGAAATAATACTGTTTTAGATATGTGATAACTAATTATATATATAGTAAGTAAAATTAAATTATTGAGTTTATTTCAAGAGAAAAATTATTTATTTTAGACAAGAAAGAAATATTAAAATAAATTATATTCAAAAATATCAATTATATTCAATTATATTCATATGATTGATTGTTTAGCAACCACATATAATGCATATCTGCCTTATATTTAATTAATTGTTCATATTATTGTCATATATTAACATTTTATTAAAAAACGTACAAATAAGAAAAATGTTTAGAAAAATGAACACAAACTGCTATGAAAAATACAAATTATATAATTGAAGTTTAGATAAATTACTATATTTCTCAGGTTTATACTATGTCCCAATAATTAATGTTTGATAATCAATAGAGCACATGCAGTAGACAAATACAGTTTACTTCCAAATTTGATTCGGCATTTGACTTATAACGTACATATAACAGTTTATGCAATCAACAATTTATGACTACGCGTTATAATTCTTACCCGTCTTACATTAAATAAGCACATCAATATTAATTATATCAAGAGTTTCAAATAATATCTATATATTTTCTCATTTTTTTTACATTTAATAAAACAAAATAACAATTTGGATATTAGCAAAAAAAATTGAGTCTCTTTAGCTTCTTTAAAATAAAAATCATTTAATACTTCGGAAACTTATACAGCACATATAACAAGATATTTCAGAATTTTAATATTTAATTTTGCAAGTAATTCGTAGGTGATAAAATTACATATATATCTTGTTAATATAACACAAAATGTTAGCAAAATGAATGCGCATATAAATCAGTTACATTCTACAAAGAATGTAACTTGTGCATGTGCACACCTAAATATGTATTTTTCCCACATGTAAAGAAGAAACACGTCCAATATTGTTTCAATATTGAATATTATACAATTCCATACAGTGTATCATTTTTAGTTTATATAAATATATCTTCCAAATTATTTTCTTAGAATTCATTTATACTGTTATTAATAAGTATTTCATCTTTACCGCGCAAAGATTTATTAATATCTTATTACTTGTAATGCTTGTAATTCAAATTCATTTTAGAAGCACACAAAATTTCTTCAGAATAAAAATCTGTTTTGTAACGAGTATACGAAACGTCATATAAAACTCAATTATCATTTAAATTGAGGACATTACGCTAGCATTTCACGGATTAATGGTGATTTACTTTCTTCCAGAATGTAATATTTGCCCAAAATTCGACGCTTCATGATAAGCAAAAGAAAAACTTCAGAAACTTATTTGAGAGAATCAACTTTTGTATTGCAAACTTTGGAGGAGCATATTATGTGATACAAAAAAGACTGCGGTATAAACTACTGAATGCCTGCGCCTGGAACTAGTAAGTTAAAGTAAATACACTTATTTCATAATTGTTTGTTATTGACATAGAAAAAAAAAAAACAAAGTGTACATCATATAAATCTAAACTAACGAAATATCACGGTAGCTCGAGAAACTCTGTGTAGTTTGACGATTAGGCACAATGTTTGAAAGCAACCAAAATTCTAATGTTTTCCGTTCAAATTATAGTTTGATTGTGGAGCATACTTTCCCCGTACAAACTATTTCTCTCTAAATTTTCATTGTAATATTAAAAGTAGAAATACATACTCTCTATTGTTTCGCTACTGTTTTTTTCGCTTTAATATATTATATATGTATTCAATAGTCAGTCCAAGGCAAACTTTATCCGCGATAGTGTAATATATAATATAGCTACTATTTTCATATTATTTTAAATCGATCTATCTATATATTACTTTCTTTTAAAAAATGTGTATACTTAACATTTAATATAATATATATATCTCTTTAAAATATGTACAGTCAATTCTATAATACAATATTTTAAATCATTTGTTATATTCATGTTTTATAAAGGCAATTATCAATGTAACTATTATTCTTATAATATATTGTGTAAACGCGTTTTTTTCTGTTTTTACAATAATAATGTTCATATTGGGATAATATATAATACAAGATAAGATATTACAAGATTTTGACACCTCTATGCAATACTTCTATTATATACAGTGCATGATAATGCAAATTATTTCATCCATCGTTTTACCGCATTGGTTTTTTTTTGTATTACGATTTTTAGTAAAATGGACTGAGAATTGTCCACAGGATTACAAATACGATTAAATGTTGAGAACATGTGTTTCCAATCCATATTAGAGTTTTTAATGAGAGAAAGGTTTTTTAAGACACGTGAATTATATTAAAAAATCGTCTCAACTTTCTGTAGTAAATTATAATTAAACATTTTATACATACCTACAGTATGTATAAATAAACTGTAATAAGATTCGTGTATTTAATTAATAAATTATTGAAAATTAATATTATAATTTCAGGTAAAATAAAAAAAAACATATATCTCTCTGTATTTTCTATTAATACTTGCTTTCAACGTTGTTTTATATTATTATATGGAATTAAGATAGTTATCATTTTTCATCGAACAAAATATCAAAAATTATTTACATGTTGATATTTAAGATTGTTTTCACATATATTAATACGAAATTTCATAACAACTAAAAACATATCGTAGTCTATATCGTAGCATAAGCTATTTTTCTATACAAGTATATAATTATCATAAAACATTATTTTTACGTACATAATCATTGTGTCAACAAAACGTTAAATCAAGTATGTATATTCCGTGCACTTACTTGGCAAAAGTGCAAAGATATAAATTTAAAAATATTGAACACGTAAATACATAACACTTAAGTCATAATTATAACAAATATATAAATGCTTAACAGTGAAGTATAGACATAAAATAGCATATGCTACTTCTATTGTAGTGTAACTCAATGTATCCCACTGGAATTCATTGCGTTAGATACATGCATTAATGAAATTACATACATTTGTATTTTAACATTATTATCGTTGTTTATAGGCATCCGTTATAAATCGTAATAGATTTTTTTAATTGATCAAAATTTTCCTCAAATAAATAAATGTAAATTAAATGTAACGTAATCACAGACATCGATGCTTCACGAGATCCTCTCGAATACTACGTACAATACATCACTTGCATCTCTCAATTAACATAAAAAGAAAAGAAAAAAGATATTGGGAACACGATTTCAATGGGATACACCAGAATCGATAAATTCGACGCATTTAATTTTGGCTTAATGTCCGTAACTAAGTATATTAAGAGAACCTCACTAGTCACCTGCACTTTAGTGTCCATTGAGTTGACTAAAACATTCGAACTATTATAAATTAATCGTGTCCAGCGTGTGTGAATTTCTAGATGCGCTGTTGTCCTTTGGTGATGTCGTAGCGGCGTTAACCTGCTTCGTAACATTGTTCGTAAACGGCATAGAAAACTTAAAATCACCACCATTTGGCAATTTGCGCATAATTTTCCCAGATGTGATGAGCCTGCCGAAGCCCTCTTGGTGGGCGAAGGCGTAGCCCGAGCGTAAGGATCGCCGTGTACGTCTCGTAGACGGGGTACGCAGTATGTCCTGGCTTTGACGGGAACGCAGTTGTGCCAGTCTCTGCTTCAGTCTGACTCTGTCGGACAGTGTCGGTCTGACGTCCATGAAGAAGAATCGCCACGACAGTACCGGTATCACGAGAATTATACAGGATATCACTGTAGTGAACCAAAAGGTCGCCTCCGACATAGCCTGCAGACATGAATTAAGTACCAATAAGTGTTGCATATACTGGCAACTACGGAGAGTACGGACAAGAATTTGCGACGATACGTACCATCGTGAGACTGCCGACGTAACTACCGCCTATGACAAAGTTGTAGAAATAATCTAAAATAAAATACCAGATGAGCGAGCCCCACACCATGATGTGGTTGAAAACTGTCCAGTACGACGTGTCGAGGGCTATTTGAACGGTCACGACTATAACTAATATAGTGGCTACTACACTGCCCAGCAGCATGTGATCAGAAAGTACGTAACCCTTAGGTGATACCCCGTCCTTGTATGTCCCTGTCAAAATACACAAGATATGTACGTTAGCATATAAATTTGCGTTGTTACAATTTCAAAATAAATATAATATAAACCAATCCCTTTAATAATTAGATGTAAAATATTTACCGTAAGGTACTAAAAATAATACACAACTAGCGTAAAATCCATGTAAAGCGCTCCAACAAAACTCTTTCTTGTTGAAGAGCAAATTTTGTAATCCTGGTGCGTATAGCTTCGGATACATTAAACTGTTCTTGTCGTTAACATCCTGATCAAAAATGCCAACCGCCAAGACTGGTAACGAGGTATAAAATAGATTGTAGACGGAAATGTACATAGGATCGAATACAGTCTGCAAGAAAATATATGCAAGAGATGAACATACAATTAACTTTAATTGCGCGCAATCTATGTACTATTTTCTACAACATGTCAGAAAAATATCTAAATTCATATTCAAAATCTCGACTTTGGAGCAAGCTCTTACAAAGGAGTTTTAAGCCTGTTCGTTTTCTCTGCACTTCTGAACTAATGCAATAAGTTACAATAAAACAAATATATGTTCTTTCATTTTAACTTATTGTACTAGTTCAGAAGTGCAGCGAAAACAAACAGCCCTAACAAGCTCTTACAAAGGAGCATCATGAATAATATTCGCCTTTAAATCATCATTCATTTCGTTATCTTTATCATTATCTTTATTATATCATCATTATTACCGTAAGTAGTTACCGTAGTTTTTAAAGATCTTACCTGTGCGCTGAATCCGCAGAAGAAAGCAAACCAGATGTGGCAGAGAGTAAACGCAAAATTCTTGTAAAAAAAATACCTAAGAAATTTACTCATTCTATAGTACGACCATCTGCCATGGACCAGAAGCAGCCTCTCCAAAAACCTAAATTGCCCTATCGAATAGTCGGAGGCTAATACCGCCTGCAATCCTTCCTGCCCGCTGATACCAACACCGATGTGAGC